GAGGGGTCTGTTTTGGCTAAGAAATGGTGGGATTGTGCCAGTAAGGCCCGGGATCATCTCTGTAGATTCAAGGGCACCAATCTAGGGGCAAAGCAGAGAAAAAATGTGATTGAAAACTTGTCAGAAGAGCCCACGAAGGTAAGGGATGTCATTTGAAAAAAGGCCGCTGAGAAGACTTGGGAACATTGACTTTGGGGGGGTGAGTTTGTTTTTGGCGGATAATTAAAAAATTAATTGGTTAACCTACTAAAAATTGAAAATCAAATGAAATCTGAAGGACCAAACAGCGCATTGTTTTTTGTTTGAGAGGCCTCATGGACTTCAGTTGCCTGCCATGGGGCTCCAAACTTGGTTGATTTTACACTATATTCAATGGAGCTTGAATTTGTTCAGTGCACCCTTAGTGGCCCGTCTGGTTGACGGACACACTCCTCGTCACGGCTAGCTGGAAGCCGGGTAATGCACAAATACAATAGAATCGATAAATTCCATGACAAACAGTAGCCAGTAGCGAATAACAGCGCACGCGTGAATCACCTGTTGAGTGTTAGAGAGCCGTACACAAACAGAACCAAGACTCATCAGGAAGGATGTGCATGCAGAATTTGAAGGTACAGTGAAGTACAGAGCAAGGAAATAGCAGTTTCGTTCGGGAAGAGTTCCATCGACGGACACTTTATGTTTTCCATACAGTTACGGGTATGTATGCCATCAGAAAGCAATCACCTGCCCTAAAAAGTAAAGTTCGGAGACAAATGTCGAAGCGTTTGTGTCAGGGTGTCTGTGATCAGGTGATGTCATTGTCATGCATGGAACTCTTGTCCGAAGGGGATGTATGATGTGAAAGGTTCAATGCCTGAATTTGAAAAGGTGATTGTTTAAAGTTAAAAAAGGCCACAGTTCAGGCTGTGTGTTGGAAACATGGAGAGGATAATGAATTCTGCAGTCCTACGTTGCAGATTATGACAATGATGGATCGATGCAAAGTAAGTTGATCGAGCAGTCTGTATGCTTTGAACTCTCTGTTTGGGACAGTAACAGGAGGTGACAAACAAACCGATGCGAAGTTGTTATCCCTTGTTTAGATAACAGTTTTACATCCAATAAGCATTTAGGATGCGTACCCCAAACATGACATGCCTAACAAAGTACTTGGAGCTGGTCAGTGCAATCTTGAAACTTGCACAAATTTATTGTATGCTATCAGGAGCCATTGAAGAAAATCCATTCTAAGATAATGATCAACTCTCGAGGGAGAACAACAAATTTGTGCAAGACGTTGTGTCAACAATGCCCAGCCCCTGTTGCCAGCTTCAGGCATTAAGGGGGCCACATCACAAAACCCAAATTTTTTGTGCTTATGCTTTTTTACTGATAGGGGATGGGGACAGCTAGCTTCCTATCGGCAAATTGACAACAAGTCAGAAAAGGAATCAATTAATTACCATGTTAGACAGGCGTCAGTATGGCAGTATTTCTTTTTCCAAATATTGTTTTATTTCTTATTTCTTTAGCTTTACAGAGTGCTCCATGGTTTTGTATCCAACTGAATAGGAACAAGTGCTTTATTAGGGGTTTGCATCCTAAGTGCTGCCAATTGCGGAAATATTACTTATTCAACACTGAACGTTAAATGTCGAACAAAGAATAAGGAACCAACTTCACACCAGTGACAATGAACACTGAACAGTTTCTTAATTTGCATTTATTTACTGATAATTGTATCAGGCTGAAGTCAACAACCTTTTACAACTTTAGCAGGATGGATACAAGGCCAGCCTGTAACCTAGACTCTTGTTATTAACCCTATGCATCGCAATTATGGGGTCAGTCTGTTGTGGTTTAAACAGGGAATTTCACCAGTCCAGTGCACCTCTTTCCTGGTATTATGTGCATATGTGGTATATTATGTATTGCAGGAAACTTTGTGATTGGTAATCTTCTGTTTTCAGTGTATAAAATTAAATTAGAATCATAATGACATTGTGGATCAACTGACAGTTCCATGACTCGTAGAATAGTTTGCACAAAAGCTGGAGTCTGTTTAAACCTACGGTGATAATTGTGTTGAAAGTTTATTGAAAGGTTTGTGAGGAAGCTATTGAAAATCCAACATACCAGTATATGTACATGTATATTGTAAAATGTGGACTTGGGACCCCGTCAGTGTAGACTCAATGCATTCAACAGTATCCCCGTTTTGGATATGGCTGTGCCAAACATCCAAATATTTGATCGATTATCAAATATTCAGATATTATTTTCTGAATTCGAATATTCTAATGCAAAATTCATGGGAAGGAAAGGAGAATTTTTTAAAGAGAAAAATTACACTGTGGAGGCTTGTTTCAAGCAGATTCAAATGAAACGTGACAGAATAATATGTTACAATTCAAAACACAAATTATTCAGTGAAAAATTTAAAAGGAAAAAAATTTTCAACAGGGCAAGAAGCTAGTATTGTTGGTCTGTTCAGCTAAATCGTGGCTGCAGATACTCCTAGCAGTGAGAAGCTATTAGTTTTATGTACAGTTGGGTGTGTTATTGCAACAGATTTGGGTTTGTTCATCAACAATATTTGGCTATTTGATTGAATTGAATGTGGAATATTCGAATAACGAATTATTCGTATTGACTCAACCCTATTTTTGGAAAAATAGTTTTTGAGACATATTCAGGACCGGGTTACTCATAGCAAAATGAAGAGGAACTGTCGCAGATCCCAAGCAAAACACAAAACTGGCTTTTGGAAAAAAAAAAGACGTTTAGAGTGCAAGGAAAATGAGTATTTTTATAGTTTCTTTTTCTCTTCATCACATGAAAACAAAGGAATGTCCTTCCTACATGTATGTACATGTGGAAACCATAATTAAAACTTACATGGGTAGATCTTCCCACATTAAGGGGACAGTTTCTTTTGTTAGGAAAAAAATTGGTCACCATAACATTCTGATAATAGTAGCATCAATATTTTAACATGCGTATTGTCTTTATTACCAAGTAATATAACAAGCAAAGACCTTTCTTTTGCTGTAACAGGCAGTCAAAAATTCCCTCCACTTGATTTGCAACAGGACACAGATACATAGGGTTTATTTGGCTGATATGACTGATAGGTCATTTTGTTAAGAATGCATCTTGGCATAGTAGGGTTAAGCATAGGTGGAAGGGGATATTTTTTGAGGGGGGTTTGGATCCAGGCTGTGGGGACATCTCTGTACATGTATATTTCAACCCTGTAAAATGAATGTTACCAAACCAGCACTGTTGCAGTAATGTATTCCACCATTCAATGTTAACTAAAAGTCGTGCCGCAGCCATTTTGATTTCTGCTAAATACACGTTTCCATTCCCCACTCGTGACATTAGACAAAAACGTCAGCCTCACAACTGCTTCAGCCATACACGTTGCCGGTATTTTCTGTTTCTTGCAGCATTCATTTCTGTTTTGAGAGTCTTTGGTTTAATTATGCCAAAACAGTTTAACTTAAGATTCACATGTTCACCTGAATATGGCATTAGTGAACAGTGGACAGGATTCATTTGTCACTTTGTTGAATAGGCCTACTCATTCATTTTGCAGTCAAAGACGGATCCAGATCCAAATATTTGGGGGGGCAAAAATGTGGAAATTTTCACATTTTAGGCTTTTTTCACTCGTTTTGAAGGAATATGAAACAGACCAGTGAGAAATTAGCCTTTCTCTGAAAAGATAAAAAAAATTGACGAATTGCTCCATTTTGGGGAGGACCATGAAGTCCCTTTTCTGTGTGCAGCTTCGTGTTAATTGAATAAAATTAAAGAGAAAGACGGGTTCGGTAAGATATGTTTCAAATGAAATAACGTTGTCCATTGTATTTTTACGTGTACCTTTCTGCACCACAAACTGCATGCAAAAAAGGCTCTTGTTTTCTTTTTTTAGATATCTAACTTAACATTGTCCGACAGTAAATGCCAAAAAAACTTCAGGGTCATGCCATCAAAATACATGTACGTGCAGGGTAGATAGAAGAAATAGAGGCAGCCTGTGGGGGCTTCCTGTGAAGTTGACGATCGATGAGCAAACTTAACGAACAGCCATGTCACTCAAATAATTATTTTACCATTTTGGTTTATAATTTACACCAGAATAACCTGAATCTGTGCCTTAACTGGTATCACGCCATGTCTGCAGTTGTCAGCAGATGGTATGCTCATGTGTGAAGACACATGTACACGCTTGTGTATACCATCAAGAGTAAATTTCAAATCAAAACTGCATATGATTACTTTTGTACTTTATGAAAGTATAGATGCATGAAATAAGCCTTTTGCGAGTTAACTTTGACCCAAATCTGGTACACTGAGTTCGTTAAATTCACGTGAACATAACAACTTAAATTCTCTTTACTAAAACCACTGTTGCTTTACCTCATGATTCGGGGCACGCTTTTGCTTAGTTACATAAGAGACGCCTTGCAACAATACACTGTTCTCAATGGATAAGAAGGGCCCAAAGGAACCAGTCCATTCCAGAGATGGTGGGCACTATGCGAAAGCTTGCCCCGAATCACGAGGTGTAGCAACAGTCTGTTTAGTCTGGAGAATTCAAATCATTATGTTTATGGTGCAGTCAGATAACTTGGTGCACCAGATTTTATTCAAATTCAACTCGCAAATGCCTTATTGAAAAGACAGTACTGTAAGTTTGTATGTACTTTATGTTGTGCATGTACATATTCCAATCTCATTTTACCTGACATTTAAAGAGGTATTTTTGTAAGCCTACCCATGTTTTTGTAGCTGATTTTAACTTCTGAATGTTATTCTGGTTTATTTCTGTATTGTAGACAAGATAAAAGGTTTGTGTTCCACCCTTTTTTTTGTTCCCACAGTCGAGGCTTTGGCACTTTTTGAATGTAATTCCAAGTTTTTCCCACCCTGTTTAGTTTTCACAATTGTGGTTGGGCTCACACATGCTTGTGCTTCATGCACAAATGAGCATCCTGTGTCCTTAGATCCCACATAACCTGGTACCACAAGGAAATAAACACAGTCGAGTGAGTCAGGATTTTTGGATTTTAGTTGAGATATGTCTCAGAAAACCTTTACCACCACGCCTTTGCACATTTCAACTTCTACAACTTTCGGATCAGTTATCACAAGGTTGTTTTCTTGAATGCAGGTTTTATTCATAGTATTTGGAATGACATCAACACAGAGTGAATTTCAATTTATAAACATGCAAGTAGTTGAGCAGGGATGACAGTGTCTTGCTTGATTGCATCAACACAAATAGAAGCCATGCTGACTTTCCAGGAGTACTGAAAACAAGACAATACACTTGTGTTCAAAATATTCACCTGAGCAAAACCTACATGTGTGGGCGATTTTAACAAGATATGCATGCACCATGTGGCCATCTGCATACATTCAGACATACTGGAACTGCATGCATTCCTTCAAACACATCTGGGCACTAACATTACGCAATTTGTAATATAATCAATATTAAATTGTACTCTTATGATATAAAAAGTACAATAACTATTGTAATGATTCCAGCTTGCCTGCAATTTTACGGGCTTTCACTTTAACAATTTAAGTCCAGATATCTGCCAGAAATTGGTACTGAGTTAGTGAGTTGAATATCCACAGCGTTTTATTCAACAGGAGAGACAATACAAATGAATCCTTGTCTTGAAGTGAAAGGGGGAACTCTCAACCACGAAAACAGCTGTAACAGGGATGCAGTATGCATTTGTGACTATCAATAGCTCCAAATCATACACAGGGCAAAGGTCATCGTGATGCCACAGTTATAATAGGCTGCACAGCATGAATCAATCCACGTGAAAGTGTTGTAATTATGCAAAAGCTGACCTGAAAGATAAGCAATCGTTAATGGAACAATTATCCCAGTAAACTGTAAGTTCTCAGCTAATAAAAAGGTCAGTGTTCCTTGGCACTTTGTCCAGCAATTTTGCCTATTATAAATTAATAATTACATGCGTACATCTGCAGGTACGTGTACCTATATATTGCAGTTGAGACTTTTCAGAGCATGCTCATATAAGGCAGATCATGTATCATTTTGTTGAGTACACAACGATCCATTGCTTAAGGTCATCTGTAAATAAGTCCCTTGTATAAAGCGGGGGGGGTACTTGTACATATATCTGTCAGACTTTGTCAGTCAGTGAGTTCAGTTCATTGTTCATTGAGTTGTGTACCTTCTGAAATAACAACCACGGTCTTTTAAAAGGACTTATTAGAAAGCAGTTTTTCTGATGTATCACTTGTTTGTTTGTGTTTACTGCATGTGTTGAGAGCTCCTTTTTAACAACTTCATGTAGCATCCTTTGAAATGTTGCCCAATTCCAATGTGCATAACTTCCATCACTGTCGGTTTGGCCAGTCCTGATGATCTTGTGTTCGTTTCTTTGTCTTTTGTAGTTTGATGCTTTGTTACAGTGACATGTACGTGTACCCGGGTGTCTGAGTCCCCTTATGTGGACTTTTGGCATATTGGAGGTGCTGGTGGTATACAGAAGTGGTGAGATCCCATCCGATCATGCAGTCGTCCAAGACCCGCCAAGCCCAGAGAGGGCTGGCTATGGAAACCGAGAAGATCGTGGGTCATGACGCTGCCGGCAAGGAGGCCTTCTTCAAAACCAGGATGATATCCCTCACCCCGATGGTGCCCCTACCTGTTGAGGAGGTTATAGAGGCAGGTGATGCCGAAATGGATGACGCCTCCGAAGGCTCCGAGGATTCTGGGATTGACAGCACGTCACATCAGGATGCTGTACCCAGGCAAAAGGTGCGGTAGACATTTTAAGTTTTAAGCAGTGTTTGTTGAAAGGTTTGCCCCTTGTGGACTTCAGCCAACTTACGATAATTTGACCGTTTATTGGGCAACAAGTACCATGCAGGGCTTGAGCCATAGGGCTCCTCAGTCCTCGACTTCTACAAATGTTCCTGGTAGATTTTGGATCTATCTCTGTGATGTGAAGGGTTGTTACTGTACTTGGTGCTGGAAAAAAGTTCCCAGCTTGATGAAGTGCCGTCTGTCGTGGTTCCCCACCATGCTTGCTGCTTTGTAATGCTAAAAGTAGTTCTAAACTATTATAAAATTTGAAACCATTATAGAACATCATGACTTATGTGTATACAATGTAATCTTCGAATACGGTCGAGCATACATTGCATCATCTGTGCTACTTGTTGGCTTTCATCAGTGTCTCATTTCATGCTTGCCACAGACAAAAAAGAGAAGGGGTGCATGGCTGATTGCCAACTTCAAGAAGAAGAGCTGCATCAAGTTTGTCCAGGATCCAGACATGTCGGCCACAGTGTAAGCGTGTTTGGTTCCTCTTAAGGTTTTGGATATTTTTGTATTTTCGTAAGTCAGTATGGGACCCGGGAGCATGCTGGAAAAGGTATTGAAACATCCAGGTTGGGATTATCCATTTAGTACAGAAGGCACTGTGCCTTGGGCAGATGAGAAATTGGGGAGGGGGAGGCAAACAGGGTGCTTCCTGCTTTGAATTTTCAATGTTGAAAATGCTTCAAACTAGCCAGCACATAGATGTAGCTTATTAGTAAAGCTTAGCATTAACATGAGAATGAAAGGCTCCAGTGCTTACCAATGCTATGAAATCACTGCTGGTGGCTATTATTGTGTAGGGTCTGTGCAAGACCGTTGTGTTGGGCCTACGAAACACTATAGTGACTTTAATAGGCCTACAGAACACCAGTACATTGGACCTAGGAAACACTGGTGCCTTGGGCCTACAGAACACTTAAGCCCTTAGAATATCTCACATAATGTTGCCCACATGCAAACCTAGTAGGTGCTTTTACCGTTGCAAAGCCAAAGTTCAAAGTTAAAGGTACGGTCCATCAATTACAGTTATCCCAGAAGTAGATCATTGTCGAAAAGCGCACTTGATTTAAAGGTTCTTTTGGGACTAAACTCCCTGTGAAATTATTCTTTCTGGCAAGCTGTGATTTGAAGAAAACAATGAAGAGGTAATTTCCTCCGATGTGTCTCAAGATGTTGGTACGTATTCGTCAGTTCAGTGCACGGCATCATGTAGCTTTGTTTGGCCAAATGTGAGACAATGTCTCAGCTGCTGAATTCGGGTACAGTTTGATACATGACTCAGGAATTTGAACTCCAAAATTGAAATCCTAGAATATATTGTTTTTCTCAGAATGTACAATATTCACTGAGCTGAAACTTTATGGGGTTTGTGCTTGGGCACCCTTCTTTTGATTTTGAGTAATTCTGTACGCCTCAAAGGAACGTAATGCACAAATGACAAATGGTGAACTTTACCTTTGACTTGAACCCTTCTGTTCTGTAATGGCTTCCCCAGGTGCTTCTGTGGTCGCCCCAAGCGCGCTCACATATCATTTTCCCAAGACTTGCCAGTCAAGGACTCCCTGTCCCCGCTAAAATACTTCACTGACACAGGCAGTGGCAGGATGCCCTACCAGATTCTCCAGGACTCCACCAGAAACATTAGAGTGGCCCCTGATGGCCAAGAGTCCCCAGAGTGTTGGAGCGCTGAGGAGCATTTGGTAGAGGTCCCAACTGACGCCTTTGGCGAGATACACTTCAACGAAGCAGTCGACAGAGTGTGCACATCTAAGGTAACCAAACACACCTCACGTCATTCAGAAACTCTCAACCTGCCCCATCCACTTCTCCAAGTAGGAAGCTTACCAGGCTTACAGCAACTCCGATTATCTGCCCCAAATCGAAGTGCACCCCCCAAGTGGCAAAAGAAAGACAGAGAGTAGTAAGTTTTCCAAGCGGGTTCTTGCACGCGTTCTGCATACAAGTACACAAAGACCATACATTAAGAAAATAAATTCGTTACGTACACTCAGCGTGCTCTGCATCAACCACGTCATTTATCTACATCATAAACACGCGCCTCTGCAGTGAGTACCAAAAAACACGCCCTCTTTTGTTCCACTCAGAGCGGATACAGTGGCTTCGGAAAAAAAGAAAAAGTGGTCAGAGTTCATTTGAACTTGTTTTACATTCGATCTTATATACCGGGTATTTCACCAGATGTTTACACAGGGGACATGCACTTGACTGGTTTTGATCTTTGTGGGTTCCATTTGCCTCATCACTGTTTAATATTCACCATCTGTCTTGTTATTGGATTGTTTATGTGTATACTTTCCAGTACATTGAAGTAAAAGATGTGTACGTGAGAATGCAATAAAAACCGAAAACAGTGAACCCCCATTTTCTTGTGAAAGAATTGCCACAATGGTTTCATTTATCTGCTGCGGAAGACAGTGGCAAACACATGTAGGTGTAGGGCTCATTTGGGACTGCATGCATGTATGAGTGCTTAATAAGAGCAAGGGAGGCTGTTCTAGCACAATAAAGTCCAAGCCCGAGATATGCCTGCTGGGGCTGAGTTTCCTTATGTTCTCTAAGATTCAATTATTATAATTTCCATCCAAATATTTAGCTATACTAGGGTAGCGAATATGTGGTGAACAAAACAGTAGAAACAGGTAAAAAATGAATCCAGTATCCAGTAATGAGTTACATGTAGTCTTTATGCTTTGTTTTACCCAACTGCATTTCTTGTCCAAATTTTTAAATCCAACAAAAAGTCTTCGGAAGAGAGTCTATAACAAGACAAATAATTGAACGTTTAAGTAATTCTGAAGAATCCTACTTCTTGCCTTGTTTTCAAACTTTCAGTTTGTGCGCCTCTCAGACCGGACCGAGATGAAGCTGGTCCTGGACCTGATGACCAAGTACTGGAAGCTGTCCAAACCCCAACTGGTCATCTCCCTGACCGGTGGGGGGCGGAGCTTCAAGCTCAACGAGAAGGACAAGGAGACATTTAGCCGCGGCGTGATCAAGGTGAGACCAGACAACTTTTTATGTCTTCTGCTCCGAGGCTGCCAGACATTGGGAGCGCTGACATTTAAATTTGTGTTGGTTATTATTTCCATAATGCATTAAAAATTACAAAGACTTGAAAAAAGTTTGGAAAATTTAACAGATGAGCCTTGATCCTTGAAATGTGACAAAATGGTAGAATAAAATGTATATGGCAGTGACTAAAGATGTGAAAGGGACTACGCAGTGCAGGCTTTGTTGAAGTCTTTTTGGTCCTGCATGAAATAGTCTTCTAGGAATCTTATAAGATTTTTATAAGATTCTGATTAGAATCTAACCAAAATCTTATAAGAATCTGATTAAAGGTATTTATAAGATACTTTCACACTGTCAATTGATTCCTGTAAGGGTCTTATAAGAATCTTATAAGTAGAAATTGTACGGGGGTATTTATGCTAGTTCCATGATCCATATTCATGAGCAAAACTGTTAATAGTCATTCCAGGCAAAAAGCCTCAATGTTGCGTTGATTTGTGTACGGAAATCTACTAGAAGATGTGGCATTTTCAAGTCCAAAATTTGGGGGGGGGGAATTCTTTGGTGCTGAAATACCTGTACATGACAATGAGCCAACAAGCAATTCTCTCAGAAATGTTTTCAACATGTAAATTTTGGCATTACAATTTGAACAGAAAGATAGATCAAATGAATATTGTCTGCCGTGATCATTTGCACTGACTGATCGGTTGATGGAAAAGTCTGAACAATCTCAAATGTTTAAGGAAGTGCATTTTTCAATGCACTTAACCCAAAAGAGACATCAACCAGTTTAATATATTGAAGAGGACCATCAAGCCATGGAAACTTGTGTCTAAGAAAAATTCATCGCACCCTTTAAAAGTGAAATTTACCACAAGATTTATTCTGTAACCCGATAAAACTCTTTTGGTTGTTTTGCTAATGTACAGCCTCAATTTTGCAAAATCCTCCAACTGCTTTCAGGTAAAAATTGAAAACAGCCTCAGTCTTATAATCCTCTGTTTTTGTGGAATGGTTTCCCAGAGAATTAACCACTACCTCAAGTCCCTCAAAATCCTCTGGCAGCATCTGTCGGGATGTTGAGGAAGTGTGAATGATATTCAGGAAGTGTGCTGCAGATTTGAAGCTTAATTTATGCATTATGTATCACTGAGTATTGACAATGCAAGGTCAGGCCCAACACCTGGACGCAGTACATGTTTCAAGAGAAGCCACGCAGCTTTTGCCAAATGACCTCAGTCACTTTTGTGCAAGGAGGAATTCTGAAGGTTAGGGTAAACCATGCCTACCAACTGTTTCCATTTAATTGGAACAGTTTTCCGTTTTTAGAGGCCTAAGAATCAGAATGTTCTAAGTTTCAAAAATTTCGGAAATGAAACAAAATCTGGAAATCCTCACACTTGGCACACATACCACACACCGTCTGAAAAGTTTGTCTCTAATAAACAAGCAGAGTCCAGAGCACGGTGACCTTGAAATTTTTACTGTAGTGATGAACCACAATACATTTACCCCTTGGGCTTGAGGTTAATCACATTCTCAACAATCAAGAGGGAACCAGTTTGGTGACTAAAAAGCAGGATTAAGACAAATAGGCTCTCAGATTTTGTGTGCTGTTGTCTGGCTTTCCGATGTCAGACTGTTTAACTAAAGAGGGTCTCCCCTCAGGCTGCCTGGACCACAGACGCCTGGATCATCACTAGCGGTTTCAACGCCGGCGTGCCCAAGATCGTCGGGCAAGCCGTCCAAGCCAGCCACACCTGGGACTGGATCAAGGCCAACAAGAGGAGCTTTGGCAGCAGCAAGCTGAAATGCATCGGTCTTGCACCCTGGGGCTACGTGGATGGCAGCCAGCAACTCCTCACCAGGCATGGCAAGGTGAGCTGGGGTACCATACGTGACACACACCTACTACTCACAGGATATTCATAGCTTGGGATGGCCACATCCTGTAGTTAATAGCATGGGATTGTCCACAGAGTTATAGTTGAATCCTCACTCACTTCCTATTTAAATCACCAAAAACTTATGTCTAAGTTTGTCAGAGTCCATGTTAATCAAAACACTGGAGAATAGTATGTTGAGCCTTGAGCCGGCGCATACTCAAATTGAGCACATATTGTACATGCAGGTTATTCTAAAACATCAATATGCATTGATAAGATCGGCCCTGACTTAGCAGCCATCACTAAACATGTTTGCACTGGCATGACATCACATGCTGTGTTCTCTTTGTACCCCTGCCATTTTGAAATTACCAAAACTGGCTGATTGTCTTGGATTTTAGCCTGGATAAAAACTGAGTTCAAGTGATATCCAAGGCTTTGGCTTCGTTAATATTAAGCTCGCCTAACCCCAGAGTGTTTACACTGTGGCTTCATTTTCTGGCTCGTGCAACATCAGTTTGGTCATTTATTCATGGGGCCACAGGTTCAAGTGTTTTGCATTAATCCTTATGTAAATGCACCTAGTAGCCTAGGGGTGTGCGTTTATGGTATTTTTGGCACCGGGTACCCATTTTATGTCAGTAGCGGGTACCCTTAAAATAGAAAGTGGAATCTCCCCTGCTTTTTTATTAAACGAATTGTTACCTTCAATTTATAACAAAAGTAACTCTGTTGATTACCCCTTCCTACATGCAGTTCCCTGTTAATACTTCTCCCATACAGGGATCCTACCCTGCAGAATACAAAGTCAACCCTGTTGTGATGAAGGGTCGACCAGTGCCCCTCAATCCAGACCACACGCATTTCATCCTGATTGATACCGGGCGGAAAGGGGAGCAGGCCTACGGAGGGGAGATTGTGATGCGGTCCATGATTGAGGAGGCCTTGGCCGCACCCCAGGAAGGTGAGCATGGGGCGCTGAACTTTGAGTTGAGAATTTATGGGGTTTCGCTGAGGAGATTTTGGATGGCATACCCCAGGAAGATTAGCACGACAGCTGCATAACTTAAAAACTTTGAATCAAGACTTTTTGGGGTTTCATTGAGGAGGTATTAAGTTGCCTCCCAAGGAAGGTAAAGCAGGCATGGATGCTGCTCATTGACTTCACTCGGAGTCAAGAATTTTAAGATTTCACTGCGGAGGTTTTTAGCTATTCCACAGAAATGTGAGCAGTGATGCTGCATAACTTTCAACAGAGAATTTTTGGGCTTTATTCAGGAGATTATTTACTTATTTAAATGAAGTGGATGAGTTGAACATTTTAGCCACACCCCAGGAAGCTAAACAGTGATCCATGTTTGATAAGGAGCCCAGTGGAGTTCATTTAATGGTGCATGTTACTCAGATACGTATAGTTGTGCAAGGCTGGAACTTAACCATAAACGTATGGATGAGAAATTAGTATGGTTTGTGATTTAGGTGGCTTCCTGTTTAGGTATCCTGCAACCAGGGTGTGTTTAGTTTTGTTTAATAGGTGGCATCTTTCAACCAACCATACAGTTGAGAACCCAACTAGTATCCTAGCAACAGTTCAGCTTTAATACTAACATGTTTAGACGAGATCATTGGGTTTTAATCAGTGATGTGTATTTAGGATGCAACTGGAAATCTACGTTAGGATGGTGTCATCTGTACTTTCCCCATCAGCATTAATTCTATTTTCCCTGTCATAGGAAAACTGCTTTTAGTGCTTGTCATTTTAATCAAAGTTTTGTGGTCTTCAAATTTCAGGACCACCTCTAGGGCTACACTTAATGGCTAACTCCAGGGTTTTAAAGAACATTTACCATGAAATCCTGAAGCTTCTAAGAACTCTTTAATTTGGTCAATCCTTTGTAAAATTGTCATTGTACTAATTCAGTTTTTGTTTTTTTGTTCTTTGTGCTTTTCCAACTTTTTACCAATTCAGATAATGGCCTGGGCCTTCCAGTTGTGCTTGTGGTGCTCGAAGGTGGCGTGGACACTCTGCTTAACGTAAAGAATGCTGTCTTGCGGGGGATACCTACCGTGGTGTGCGACGGGTCCGGCAGGGCAGCAGACGTTATAGCCTTTGCCCACAACCGAGCTGAAGGGGAATCGTAAGTCCGACAAATTTTCCAGATGTTATGGCAGTGACTGAAGTGCACTCTTCTTTTTTTTGCATTGAATCAGATTCCATGGAAGAAGGGCCCTATATAGCAAAGAGGAATCTAACCCACAGTACTTACATTAGTTTGACGTGGCATGCTTTCATTTCATGCCATTGGAATTTTTGAAATGGATTTGATTTAATGGTCATCTAAATTGAGTGGCTTTGTTTATGGCTTATTGTAGTTCTTTGTTATTTGTAGCTCAAAGAAGTTTAAAGACGGCGGGGAGAATGAAATATTGATATATTCCTTTCTTTCTTGTGCTTTGCATATGGGCAGTTTTTGTTTTTTCAGTGAGGTTTTCTGTCTTGGGAAAAGAAATTGATTTTCAGATCTGTGTGCACTCTCAGTAAAAATCGGTTGTGTAGGAAGTGTGAATAGGTGTACATGCGTAGCATGCCCACCTGGGTAGGCTTTCCTTGGGTTTAGGGGACAATTTCCCTTGTACGGAAAGTCAAGACCAACAGATACTGTTCAGAAAGTTGTCGCAAATATTTTGTGTTTTTGTAGTGAGTCGAGAACATTGAGTGACAAGAACCGAGAGGTCCTGCGAAACAAACTACAGAATTTCTTTAATATTGATCCAAATAATGAGAACATGAACCAGCTGATTGAGGATGTCATCGTTTGCATCAGAGACAAAAAATTGGTATGTAATGAATTTAGGACTACAAAATGGTATTTTCGGTTGGGGCAAAAAGTTCAAATACAGTTGGTAGAAAACTAGGTTTCCTCATTTTTTTGGCCATTTGAAATAGTTTGGCCAACTTTTCCTTTAGAGGTAAGACCAATTGTATCTCAACTTAATGTTCATAGTGTGTACTTCAGTTGAAAATACTCACAGATGTGTATTACTGTTCAAAATATAAATATTTCTGAAAAATCATTTTGTGAAAATTTACATTTACCCCCTTATTGTTCAAAAACACTTCAGACAGTGGTCCACTTGGACTATGAAATGTGACCCAAAATACAGAAAGTAGCACTAAATATTAGGGTTGGAGTATAAAATGTTGATTTTTTTGTAAATATAATATGAATTATATATACGTCTCTGAGTGTTTTTATTTGACGCGTACACCACCCATCTTGTCTGTCCTCATGAAAAGAAAAGTTGGTAGGAATGAATGAAGTTTGTAAATTTGAGGTTTGTTCTACCAGGTGTATTTAACTTTTGACCAAACTGTATATTCTGTAATAGCCTAGCTTGTCTAGAGCTCTGATACATTACAATACTGTGTGAAAAACATACATTATTAAATTTTCCAGCCAAATTTCCAAGGCACTTTTAAGAATTTATTACAAACAAGCTAATTTCGCATTACACAGAGTAATTGCTTAGTTCAATTTCACTGTGTGGCAGATGTTTTGCAGGTCTTTTCCACATTCTCATTCAGTGAGCACTTTGCACACTTTCTTTTTCAGATCACTGTCTTCCAGATGGTGGACATCAGTGAGAACTCGGGCCTAGACCACGCTATCTTGATAGCACTGCTTAAAGGTAATGGCATAATGCAAAACAGGTCAGTCCGTGTACCTGTCCATGAGGTCATCCAGTGGATGCCCTACTGAGGGCGCTGTGCAGTCTACTCTCATGAGTCAAGGAAGGTTCATTTAATACCACCCTCCCCACCATGTAGACTCCACGCAAAGTTTACATCCATAAGGTCAATGGTAAAAATTTTGAGTGGCTGTTAGAATAGATAACAATTTGATAATTCAATCAATTTCATCTCCATGTTTTCATCTCCTTGTTTTCAGCAAGATTTCTTATTTCCAAATTTCCTCTGAGTTTACAAGGAAGAGTATGCACATGTATCTGATCGTGCCTGGCTCTCTCGTAATTTCTTTGCTTTCTTGAAATAGCACAAGCTACTACCTCCACATACAAACTGGCGCTGGCACTGTCGTGGAACCGAGTGGACGTAGCAGAGAGGAAGATCTTTGTAGACGACGAAAACTGGACGGTATGTCAGCAGTCAGAGACCTGTTTTTATTGTTAAGTGAATGCAGTGGCTTAGCAATGGCTGGTCTGGGGATGTTGTAGACCAGTTGAGGAAATATTTTGATAGATTAGGGCCTTAAGGGCATTGCGTGCCTAACAGGTACTTACAGGTCTTCTACCCATATCCACATACACTCTCCCTCAGACCGGTGTAATTCAACAAACAGACTGATCCAACAACGAGACTAGACAAATAATTCAACACTCTGACTAGAAAAACAACTCAAGTCCCCCACATGGCGCAGCCAGTGAATAGAACTCGTCGAGTGTTTCCCACAATGCACTGGAAAAGATGGCTTCCCCCTTGGCAACCCGTGGGTGGCATTGAGCATTGCCCATATTACTTTCTAAGGATAATGAAATGTAAACGCAAAATAGACTGTAGTCATGTGTCAGCATATAAACTATTCCATGTTTGGAACATGAGAGTTCAAAGAACAGCAATGAAATAATGGTTCATACAAATTCTTATGCCATTTTTTTGGTTCAGAGTAATTCACAATTTGTAATTTATAATATCTAAATATTTTGAGCCATATCTGAAAGAAACTGTAAAAAAGGTGTAGAACCCCAAATAGTCTGGCACTACCCCATTTTAACAGATCACATTAAATTTGACCGATTTAGGGGAAAAGGTTTTTTTGGGCCTTACCAGTGAATGGGGTTTATTGAAATGTCTCTGCTGAAATTTTGCCTGTCCTGCAGCCCGGCAGCTTGGATCCTTTCATCATGCAATCCCTCATGCACAACCAGGTGGACTTCCTGCGTCTCTTCCTGGAGAAGGGTGTCATCATGCAGGATTTCCTGACTGTGTCCAGGCTACGTCGGCTCTACAACTCGGTCAGATACTGGCCTTGGCATGAAAAGTCCAGGCCAAAACTAGGCAAACGTTTTTCTCTATGTAAACATCAGAACAAGAGTGACCTGAACAATGATACCATTAACTTTATTGATGACAAGTACGTCGCACACAGAAAGTGATCCATAAGCCATTCTGAAAAAATAGTTCATGGATAATTCCAGAAATTAGGGGTCCAAAAGTATGACATCTTTGTGTCCCTGTTACATATGACCTTCATTTATTTGACATGGAAATATCATCAGAATTGATTTTAAACTAGTACTTTTTGTTAGGCAGGTTGCATTAATTCATCACTCTTGGAAATTAGAAAATGCATTCTGAACTTACAACATCATATGTCAGATGTGACAGGGACACAAAAAGGACCCCTAATTTCTGGAATTGCCCGCATTTATAAGTGAGGCACTACCTGAATGTCATACACCTAGTGTTATTTATAATGCTTGTAGAAGTACTTGCCATATCTAGTGAAAACTACTTGTGAAGTGTAACATAATTGATTGTCTTGAATACTGTTTTGTCATTGGTCTAGAACAATCATGTGACAGGGCAACATAACCGCATGTCACATTCTTCATTAGAAATGACATGAGCCAGCGTTGTATGATCACGTGCATGTAAGCATGCATGCACGTGGCATGCCCCGGCAGCTAGTGTACAGGTTAATGCAAGGACTGCCAGCATTCGAAGATTCTTTAATTTCCCTCGGAAAAACAAGTGAAAAGCATCGTCAAGACAGAGATATGGCAGAAACACTGTTACAACACTTGGTCTTTTACAGTACAGCTTTGAGACATTAAAAAATCCAAGATAGAGTGGATTGCTTAAAGACTGGCCGTTCCTAGATATCTGAACATTTGAAGTGTCAAGATGCTGACTATGGTCTATGTACTTGAACAGTCTTGATTAAAGTTGGTTTAATTTTCTTTCCATCTCTATATTTATTTTTAGATAAGCCTCCAGCATTCTCTCAGGTCTTATGTTGCAATGGTTAATAACACCAAGGTATGTACAGCCATGACACAAGGTGCAGAACTTCTTGTCTGTGTTCAAGAAATAAAGGCAGAGTCTAATTGCAGGAAAGGTTGCAAGTCTGAGAAAAAGATCACAGGGAGCCCTGAAAGTCTGGATGGGAGGTTGGATTCAAACCATGGGAACCAATCCACTAAGTATATAGACACAACATAAGTATTCAGGGAATATCCATTTATGTATTGAAGGGGATTTGATTGAAGGGGACTGACTGAATTGCAAGGAACTCCTGGTCAACTGTTTGTGATCTTGAGAGATGGAAAGATGTGTCACAAATGCCATGGATGTGGAGACCTTCGCCGAATTTCATGAAATTACTAAAGAGAAGAGAGTGTCATAACTAGCTGAGCAAAACAATCAGCCAAGAACCAGCTGGAAGAAGTGTACATTGCATGCTGGTTTGGCCATTGAATATCTGTTGAGCAGATATCTCCTTTTATTGACAGATTTCTCTGCTTGTCAGCCCTTTGAAATGAGCCCTTGGTCTCAAGTGAGCAAAGACTGGCAATGACCTTGAAACTTCTGTGAATTCATTGGCTGCTGTGTGTGATCTGTCCCCTTCCCTGCACTCTGATTGGACTGATTGTGAAGTTCATAAATATCAAAATTGACCCTGCATTTGGGATCGTGATGACAAGAAATTACTTTGGTATATTGGCCAGTCTCTTAAGTCTGCCCCTTGCAATAGATTCTATCCATGTGTCTGCCATCTTGGGATGAATTTGAGGTTAACCTTCACTTTACCTTTTCATTCAAATGTGAGAAAACAACTGACTGCCTTTCACTTGTCAATTTTTGTTAGGGATTAAGAGTCAGTGTGAAATCTGTGTTTCTGACTCGTGTTTAGATCGGCCGCCCCATTTTCCTCTGCCACATCAGCCAAGTCATCAAATTCTTGATGGGAATCCACCGGAACAAGCTCTATGTTTACGACAAGCCGTTCAGCAGTGACAAGATGGAAAGTGTTGGGCTCATTGCTCTGTCCAGCACCCTGGCAGGTGAGGGAACGTGCCCCATATGCTTGCTGCTGTAGATTGATAATGTGGCGTGGTTCATTCCGAAGTGTTCTGAAGTACTGAAAATTGGTTTATTATTTCATCATAGGAACCCTGTGCACTTTTGGCCTGAGAGAGGTTTCTCATTCAACTTTTTTTCATGTTTTGTTGTGTTTTCGTTTGAGCTGGCTATCATGAGAAAAGTGGTTTTAGAAAAGTGAAGCATACGTATATGCTTAATTTGTGTTAATTTGAATATTGAGAGTACCACTCACCGGCGGCGGAACGATTCTTATAGTGGGCGGCCAGTTGTGAGACCATCAGTCGTGAGCCATTAAGGGCTGGATCGATTGAGCCAGCCCCACCCAATTATAGGACCTGCAAAAAGGGGGGGCCTCCCTGACAAAAATATATGAATGTCCAAGTGGCATCTAGGGGTGCACTCATTTTTATCAAAGAGACACCACAAAAATAATAAGCTGCAGCTGCAAAGCTATATATAAACTCCTTGGAGGTTATTCACAGATTTCAAGGCCCCCCGGTAGTGACGCCACTGATAAGACCATCAGGCATCAGCCATTACTAGGTCAATCCATTAAGCCCAAGGCCCCATAAATAGGACCTGCAAAAAGTGGGGGGCCATACCCAACAGTAAAAAATGCCCCCCCCCTAATCCTAGCTGACAATGGGCACTGTAGCTTGCAAGCCTTAAGAAACCTGTAGAGAGACAGTGAGACGCATTTACAGTATTAAAGGTGGCAGGAAAACCCCTGAGGAATAATAGACCGATTGCGCCCGCTTAAAGTCACGTGCCTAGAGTACGTGTTGGGTATTAAATTTCAACTAAAGCATAGTGTTTCATAAGCACCTGATTGCATTTACTTTTAATACTCTTACTACTGATGTGCTGGGTACTATACCATAACTTGCCAGTATTCCGTGTAAATTATACTCAAACCACACTATAAATGTCACATGATTTAGACAGGTGCAGTCGGTCTAGATAAAATCCTCAGAGTCGGGCAGGGACTGAAAACGCATGTGAGCCAGCTGGGAATCAAATTCTCCCCAAAGTGGTGAACGGTGAACAACTTTGCCGACCTGACCGCCTTGGTCATTATTGCCTGGTCACTATAAAGGACACATGACATTACTTAACATTCTCTTGCAGGGAGTTTGCTGACTCACCAGGCCCAGGAGGAGTACCTCAAGTCTGAGTTTGGCTGGAGCGTGACCAGTGGGTCCAGCCAGAAACTCAGCATGATCGAGCTGGCCAATCCCGGCCTACACTTCAAGAAGCCTTTCCGGGAATTATTCCTGGCGGCGGTGCTCATGGGCAGGTGGGTTTATATTGGCCTTGTGCGGTGACAGTAGAGGGCATCATGTGGCCTAATAAATTGGAGGTCAAGTGAGGATGTTTGTCTGTCTCAAACAGTGATCCATGGTTCACTGACACTAGAATCCACATAATGGATGGAGTGAAATTGGCTTTGTGCGGTGACAGTAGAGGGCATCATGTGGCCTGATAAATTGGAGGTCAAGTGAGGATGTTTGTCTGTCTCGAACAGTGATCCATGGTTCACTGACACTAGAATCCATGTAATGGATGGAGTGAAACAGCGTTGGGATCATTTATCTAGATTCAAATCTGTGTGAAACAAACAGGCCCGTAAACACATTCTGATGCTTCCCGTATGCAGTGCTGGGTGATGCCTGTGCCCATCACCATGCTTCATGATCCTCATTGAGATTGTACACACAAAGAAGTTGGGATTCTGCAGAGGTGGAGCATGTGTAGAACCCTTATAGCTCTCCCAGAGTTTAAAATGATGCGGTAAAAAACACTTTGCACAAATCTTGAACAGGTGACTGCCAAATGAGGGCAAGCAAAATGAGCTGTAAAGTCCAGCACTGTAATAAAAGGGACTGCGGTCATAGTATCTTGTTATTTTAAGAAAGTCGGGGTTTTTTTTAGACGAAAATAATAGCACGGAGAAGCATGTTGAGGAGTAATACCATTGGCAAATGATTAACTCAGTTCATACTGTACGTATTGGTGACGTTGCATACTGTACAAAGCCTGTTTATACATCACATTCAGCTGGCATACTTAAGAAGCTTAAAGTATACAGGAGTAGTTAGTACTACATGTAAATATATACAAGACGGTAGTGTCCACTGTGCATGGACTTAACAAAACCATGCAATTAATAGAGGACTCGTTATGGTGTGACCCTGCAAACCGTATTTCTTTTAATTCTTATTCTATAATTTGTGCTTACAATGTGTCATCCAAATGGATACCCGTCTTGAATTTTTTCTTCAGTAGATTATAGAAATTAGATTATTGAAATTCATAACAAATTTGTGGTCCATCATTATGAATTTCAGAGGTGACATTAGTTGCTCGTATTTTTGACAAGGCTTAGAACACACCTACCTCCGAGCCTGTTTCTGATTTCTTCATTTTGCCCTCCATATTTCCTCTGGTTTTCCTGCATATGCGAAACTTGAATATTCATGATTCTAATGGCAATATTTAGTAAGCCTTATTTTGCGTATATTGTGGGATGTCCTTAGACCTTGATTTGAGGATTGTGTACAGATATAATTGGCACATTACCAAGTGGATCTTTATGCAAGGAAAAAACAATGGAAAATCTGATGAAATTATGTTCGCGTTTTGGGTTTTATTTTAATTTCTATCTAGGATGGAGATGGCAAAGTTTTTCTGGGAGCGCATTGAAGATGCTGTCTGTGGGGGCATCGTTGCCAGCACTATCCTGAAGGGCATATCAGCTCTTTGCAAGGATCCAGATGACATTCTGGAAGCTGAGAAAAATGCCAGGTAGCGGGAGTAAAATATATCCATAAATTTCCACTGCCTAATGTTTTGTCTTCTGTTTTAAACGTTTGTACTCAAACAAAACAGACACCCCTTTTGAGACTAGATCCCCACAAAATGAGTTTGAAAGCCATGTTTCAGTCATTTTATTATTTTACATTAGCAATGATATTTGTTTTGATGTAATGTATCAGTTTGGCATCTTAATGGAAATAAACATTTATGTTCCAGGTTTTTCTTGATTTTTCCAAAGGCCTCTATCTCACAACTGTTCTTGTCAAAACTCATTTTCTTTGGTTCGGTTACAAATGGACTCTGCGCATAGCAACCGCTGGCTGAAACTTGCCCAAATTATTAGCACTGCTCATGCATGCCCCACACATGGACACCAGTACATGGTTACATTACTTACAAAATGTGGGCAATCCTTTCTTTTTGTGTAGTCAAGAGAATATGTTGAAAATCCTTTCTTTTGTTGCACTGTGAGCTTGACTTTTGTGGCTGGCTTTCTCGACTTTTCCTTTTGCTACAATAACTGTTACATCAAAATGCGTCAACTAAAACTGTCTTCCAAGGAGGGGTAACCTTGTGTGTACCCGGCTTAGCCCCCCCCGGTTCGCTCATCTTGCACTGTGTGGACCTTATTTTATTCATGGGTCCACACTAGTTATGTGAGGTTGGCACTGCATGCTGTGCACTGCACCGACAAGATGCAAATGACGAGCAAGATGTTTCAACGGACACGTGCTCTCATTTTGCTTCTTTCCATCTCAAAATTTAATGTGTAGAAACTTTGAGCAGCTGGCAGTTAATGTGATGGACGAGTGCTACAGAACGGACGAGATTTTGGCGGAGAGGTTGATCCAGTGCCCCAACAAACACTGGGGTGGTAAGAGTATCTTGAAGATGGCCGCTGAGTCAGATAACAAGGTGAGGAGAAAGGTTTGGCAAGTCCAAATGAGCGCTGTGTCCCACTCGGGCTTCCAGCGCTATGGCAACGTGTGCAACGTCAGCATACCCCTCAAGTATTTCCCTCGGCCTTAGGTACTTTAGTGGAGGAGCATAGCCTCTTGTGTTGATGCTAAGCTGGAGTAAGCTATGAGCAAGTTGGTTTGAAGTTTTCCCAAAATAGAAGATTCAGAGGGATTGTGTCCATTTTGTGGCATACCTGTGGTGGTTGCGTAGACCTTCAAATTTTTCTTAGGCACCGAACTATTCCTGGGCCCCAGGCGCAGTACAGTGCCCACTGTTTCAAATTGGTCACCAGACCTTATGTAGAACAAGACACAGGATGTTTTTGGCCACCTCAAACTAACCAGCAAGAACCAAGATTTGTTGAAGTTGAAAATAACGAGTGCGAGTTTGTCTTGTACTCCATTTATTTCAATCCCGGAAGTTGAGTCCTATCTCTTTTTTTTTTCCCCTTCTTAAACCTGGTCAGACCTTCATTGCCCACACCTGTGCCCAGAGTGTGGTCGAGAAGTCCTGGATGGGCGGCATGCGGGCCAGCACGCTGGCCGTGGGACTGGCCACCCTCTGCCCACTCTTTATCTTCCGGATCAAGTTTGTGGACTTGCAGTCCCCCTGCAAGGGGAAGTTCAGCCGATCCGCAAAGCTGCGCATGTTCTCCAACTCGCCCATCACCAAGTTTGGAACATTTGTGGTCAGTAATCAACTACAGTTTTTTCTTCCAATGCCAACAGGAACTGTGCACTTTGCAGCCTTTTAGTGAGAGCCAATTAATGATAAAGAAAACATGCACTGGGTCTGGTTTCCATCTGGTAACTTGTTCTTTATTCCTTGATCAGTATAACATTTTCCTAGGGGACCATTTTTCAACAGAAATAGCTCCACACTCACGGACAGGAACTCCATCTTGTGTTCTTTGCGCATTTACCACAGTTTACATACACAAATAATTATGGCATGTGGTTTGCCCAAACTTGCAGTCTGTGTGGTTTAAAGATTTCACCTGAGCATGGGTACACGATGGCAGTAAAACCTGTATTGGATTCTTGGCTGTGTTTACATATTGTCATTTTTGCCATTTTGAAATTTTCAGTAGACCCACTCCGCCCACTTTAATAAAGTCACCTGACTTGTGGGTATCAAACGTCAACAGACAGGGCTTGCTTCCATACCAAAATATGTTCTAAGTGTTTTTTGCCAAAAAAAAATAAAGCTGATTTTCGGTATATTACCTGGGACATCAGAAATCTGAGTACTACCCTACCCATCAGCTTTATTTTTTTGGTAAACGACACTCATGGCACACTTTGCTATGGGAGGACGCCATATTAATTGATATTTGATACCCACGTTAGGTCACGTGACTTTAGGCACAATCAGCGTGTTGGATAAAGTTCAAAGCTCATTTCCTGTATGACCAGTTTCTGGACAGCTTTTCCCATGTTCAACCCAGTTTTCCTAAACCATGTTTGAGCAGGTATCCATTGTAAGGTATGATAAAGAACTTCTTTAAATTTTAGCATCTGAAACAAATATTCACTGTGAAGAAGAGATATTTGTAAAGCTATGCGTGTGGTGCACAATGCAATAAAGGGAGTCAGTCACATTAGCAGTGTGCCTCAGTGGTTATAAATTTCTTCAAGTGTTTCAACACCCAAAACAATTTCACAGAGGTGATTATGAGAGCACGCAGGCTGTAATTTGAATGAACTAATACAGCAATTCATGCTCTTACAAAGTTGGTATCCCCATTTGCTGCCAAAAGTGGACAGAACAGTAATCCACTTGTCAGTTTTGTCATTCAAATGGACCTTGATGTTCACGTAAAAATAGTCAGTCACTCTCTGCTCTCGATCCAATTCTAACCTTTATGCCAATGCATCTGAAGAAGAAGTTTGTAAAGTGCTCCAGACGCGGCAAAAATGCAAAACCCTCAGGGGAGAAACTGTGCACATGATGGTAATATTCAATTCCCCTGTTCCTGGGTTTTGTGACATGCGCTTACGTCTTTGCACCGTCCAGTAAAGTGTTATACTGTCCTCATTGAATCCCAGCTGTCCTACGTGGCGTTCCTGTTGATGTACAGCTATGTCATGCTCGATACATTTGGCGACTCTCCCTCTATCCCTGAGTGCGTTTTGTTTGGCTGGATATTTACAACGATCATCGAGGAAGTGAGGCAGGTGGGTATATCTTCAAGACATGTAATGGAATTGAGCGCCACTCTGGAGCAGTGTTGTAATGGAGTACTCTTCGAGTAGCCAAAGTTCTCTGCTGAATATTGAACTGGGTAAGAGGGAATACGGGTGGAGTCCATGGACAGTTGATGGTAAACGTGCAAAGGGAAGAGTATAACTAAATGTAAGACTGCAAACACTCCCAGTTTGGTAAAATTTAAGTTTTATGGACAGAGGTACTCGGAAAGTACTCGGCCGAGTACTTTTCAAGTATTTGTGTCCTAAAACTTAATTTTTATGAAACAGTGATGGTTGGAAGTCATCATTTTACTTTGTCATCTTACCCTTTGTGCATACCATCACATGCCCGTGTACTTCAGCGTTGCATCCCTCCTTACTAATGAAATATTTGGCAGAGAACTGAGTAGTCAACAAGTACTCAACTGCAACACTGCTCTGGAGTTGGCACATGTGGGATGTGGGATATTCAAATTGGGTTGTTTCAGTGCATGAAGGCTAGAAAGGATGTAGAGATCGATAAACCAGGGCACCTGTGCAGTGGGCAAGGGCACTTGGTGGTTGTTGTATGTGTGGTGTTGTGAACTTGGACTGTGCCGTAGCATTGGTGACTGTGACAGAAGCACAAGACAACTTGCAGTGAAGTGTAATGTAGGCCTCAAAGGTAAAAAGAACTTTTTGTGTTATACCCTGTTGATTATCATGAAAGGAAAGTACTGACAAGTTAGCAGCTTGTGTCTGAAGTGTTCTTTTTCAGTGTATACTTGTTAAAGACAAGGGTTCCTACCTTCAAAAGTACATGTACACCTTCTAATCAGAAAACAGCCTTAAAGCCCAGACAGCTCAATGGATGTTACAGTAGTGTTTCGAATTCTTTCACTTTCAGTGCCTTCTTGCATACTTTACCCTTGAGGAGTGATTATGCCGAACACACAAACATATAATCAACAAGCAAACTATAGAGGGAAACTGACTGGGTGCTTACAGATAAATTGCAATGATGAACGAAGAAATAACTGGAGCAGGATTTGAACCTGGGACCTCTGGAGCTATCACCAACATAGGGCTGGGCACATTGGTTTGTAGAGGCCCTGCAGCTTGGTTTGTAGAGTACCAGGGCTGTGTTCTAGAGGTTATCGGTCTAAATCCTGCTTAAGGTTTGCCAAGCGCAGAGTAACAATTTCTCCCTGCGGCGCATTTTAATTTTTCAGTCCTTCATCCCCGGAGAGCATGAGACCATCAGGCAACGTCTTCGTGAGTGGGCCAGCAATGAGTGGAATGTCATGGATTGCATCTCGATAGTGGTAGCGACACTGGCGTTCATCCTTCACTGGTTCGCAGCAGCCCTGGAGTGGTCCAAGGCTTTCTATGCCCTGAACTGTTTTTTCTACTACTCCCGTCTTCTGCGACTGTTCTCAGTCAGCGAGAAGCTCGGACCCAAGATGGTCATGATCAGGAAAATGGTAGGCAACCAGAGGCCACTGTGGTACCGTTAGATTCAATAGACTTTAATAACTTTGTCTAAAGCTAGTTTGGTGCATCAAGTCAGGCTGTCCAAAAAATTGTTTATGCAAGGAGTTGTTGACATAGCGTACACCTTGGATACAGTAGTTGGTATGTGAGGCAGTGTGTACCTATGCAGAGAAATGTTGAATAAACCGACATAAAATTAATGCACTGCCTCCTATTTGTACCTAGTGGGACCAGCGGCCAGCTTTTATACATTGAAAATTGTTCCAATACATAACCTTTAACCACCATGGTTTTTATCTCACCTATTATAGTGTCACCAGTCTGATAATTCAAAGATCCATATAGAATGTATTTATATATCAATATATACAACAGAATAGTTAGCTTTGATAATTCATTAATTTTTTAATGTATCATGTTCATTTTTAAAGAGCACCTCTAAGGAAAACATGTTTTCCTTAGATTTGCTCTTTAAGCAAATGACAGAAGAACCTTTTCCTTGCAAAAAAATACAATTAGTGTGTCAGTTTTTGCGACAAATTTTCAGTTTTGTGAACAATACAAGTACCTTTGGTGTCTAGAAAATTGTTTACTAGACATATGGGCAAAAACGAGGAATACAGCTATGTACAAATTTTGGTTGGTCTTTTCTCTTTGGTTTCTGTACACTGAAAAGCTGTGCTCTTCATTTGAAGATGTTACTGATGTTTTGTACATTTAGATATTTTGAATGTTTGGCACAGCCTATAATCACAAAAGTGAGGGATAGCTGCCCACCATATCGGATCATTGATTTTTAAGATTGGGTTTTTTCCCTTTACACAGACGTATATTCAATTTATACTCAGTGTTTTCCAAGAACTTGCAAAAGTTCGTAAGCTTATATCCAAACGTTTTTTTGCTGACTTCAAGGTATTTGAGATGGTGCTATTTCTGTGCATCTTGCTGGTGTTTCTGCTCGGTTACGGTGTAGCCAGTAACGTCCTGCTGTACCCCCACCAGGACTTTGGCTGGGAGTCCATCAAGAACACTGTCTACATGCCGTACTTCCAGATCTACGGAGAGCTGTTCTTGGACATTATCGTTAATGACGGTATGTTGTAGAGATCATAACGTGGATCTTCACACTGAAAGGGCCCTTGCTTGGATGATACATTGTTTTCAGCATAGCCCTTGAAAATTCACCTGTATGTTTTTTCAGCCCTATTTTCAATTTTTATTCCGCAGTTGGTGTCTCTTTGGATTTTATGGTAATGAGCATTACCATATTCAAAAGCAAAATTGTGATGTCTCCCACATCCAGAAGAAACCTCATTTCATTGATCTGTGCACCCAAATAAATGTTGACATTTTCCTATTTTTTAAAAACTTTTTCCAATACCCTGTGTATTATTTGGGTGGAATTGATAGAGATTGTGGAGAGGATGTTTACTATGTACCTACCTTATTCCATGTGCTTACAACTGTAGTCAAATGAGGGCGCTATAATGGATATATGGTCATATTCCTACCGTGTCTGGCCCTGTCATTAAAACTGATCCCTTAATGTCCTACAGCTTTCAAATTAAATTAGGCACAGTGTTCTGGTGGCACTATCTGGCTCATTGAGCTAACAACTTTAAAGACAGGTCATTATAAAAATGGCAAAGTCAAAGATGGAGATGAAGCTAAGTAATGGAAAAACCCTGAGGAATGTGTTATCACAGCCATGATCAGAAACATGTTTTTACTTTGGACATCTATTAGGCATTTTTGCGACTTTAGTTATGCACTTGTGACACAGTCATTTTGACTAAATAAGAAGTTAAGGTTTGAATTGGTTGACTTTGTTGCTGGTTCCAAATCACAGAAATAAGCAGACGGTTTTTATGTTGTCATCTCAAAATGATCGAATCGGACCCCAATTTGTTAATTTGCTTGCAGCAAACGTTAAGTTCTTCACAGTAGAATGTGAAAAGAGAGGGCAGCAGAGATGAGAGACCGGAAATTAACACACTGAGTAAAAATGACATTTGTTGACATGTTGTGTGCTACTTCATACGTTACTATTTACTGTGTACCTCTTTCGGACGACACATCACGAAGAGTTTCACGTCCTACCTTTTTTTCACACCGGACCCAAACACGTTCCGGTTTATTGCTTTGATGTCACATATTTCTGGTTTTATTGGGAACAAAACCATGCCCTGGGGGTAAAGTCAAGGGCTGCTGTCATGTTCAGTCCATGAGTTCAGAAGCCTATTATGACAGTCATCAGTCTATTGATGTTAAATCTGTGCTAGAGTCGATCATATATCACCGTGTCAAGGCTAGAATCCCATGGCTTGTATAAATCTGTCAACTATGTGGTATCTGAAGAACGTAGCACGACTGGAATGATGTATCATTTTCTGGGCCAGGTTCTTTACGATAGCCCTTTAATAGTCAAGTAGGTCAAGTTGAACCTGAAGCTGCTTTGAAGCATGAAGACAGAGCACATATAATGATGTTGGGTGATCCAGCGCCATGTGTATAACCATAAATGTCTTATTATTATTATTAATTTGACCCAAATAAACTAACAGAGTTGAACAGTACACATAAAAGCAAAACAAGGGAGACAAAATTACAAGGCTGGACAAATAATACAAAAGAAAACAGTAAGGCAGACACAGGGACCCCAGACAAACAACAACCGAATACCAGCCTGAGGACAAGACACGTGACTGTTATGTGGGTCAGGGACTGCAAAAGTAAAATTAACTACGCTTTAATACCCACAGGTATGAAGCCCTGCACATAAAGAGTAACAAAGACACAACAAATTATAATCATGGTTGCCAGACTATCAGGCATCAGCCATTAAAAGGTTGATCTATTATGCCCCATCCAATCATAGGGCCTGCAAAAAGTGCTTTTTGCCCCCCCCCTTCCGCCGGCAGTGGTTTTAGGGTCTTAAGGAACTGTTGAAGGAAGTCAAGAACAGCAGAGACCTTAACAAAGCGTTGTAATAGGTCGTGCAAAAAAGTAATGCATGCTCAAGTGATTGTATCATAGATGGACAGTATATACATCCCCAAACGTCAAACCTTATTGGGATCCCTACATCATTATAATCATGGGAAATGATCAATGAGTGATATTGACTGGCTCAGTGTGTGCAGGGTACTTGAATCATTCCTGACATTTGTCGGGGTAGATTCGTAAGTGTATTCTGTATATCAGTTTTGATTAGTTCTTCTTTCCATTGCATGGTATGCCTCAATCAATCAAAGTTTTCCTGAAGTAGTCAGAAGTTGGCATTTGCTCAGATGCAAATCATGGCAAGCAGGCCATGTTTTGTCTGTTGATGATGCATTAGGCCTATAGCGTAATTCGACAACCAGACCTGTGGTAGCATAAGACTTTTGGACAGGTGGTGCATGCACATTACATACCTGTTCAACCAATAGGGTGTGGCAATTTTCCAAATGCATGCACGTATCACACTGAAGAATGTGCGTGTGGGTGCAATGCCTCCACAGTTATCACAGTTATATGGCTTCTCCTCGTATTAATCTATATTGTTCATAGCCGGGGCCAGGGAGAAATGGATTTTTTTCTTCTTTTTTAAACAAAGAATACTTCACAGGAAAGAAAGCAATTAGTATATTTATCAAATATTACCACAGAACCAAAGAAAGCAACACCATGAAATAAAAGCATGGACCACGAGTAAGGGTTTTAATATTTTTGTCTCCCCTCAACATCATGTTGAATGAGTCCATTCGCTCTGGAATCCCCCCCCCGACAGCAAAATCTGGATATGCCACTCTTGTTCATCACCCATACTGACACATTTTGCACCTCACACTTCATCTCACATAGGCCAGTCAAGCTGTGACCCACAAGAGATGACTTGCCCACGTCAGCATCTCCTCCAACCCATCATGCTCGGCGCCTACCTGCTGCTGGGCAACGTGCTACTCCTCAACCTACTCATTGCCATCTTCAGGTACTACCATGTTGCTATATTAACATGCATCACCAACTTCCAGGGTCGTACCCTGAAACTTTGGGTGTCATTTTTAAAGCATTCTCATCTGTCACCCATGGTCAAGCTTATCCATTACAGTGGAAGTGATAACTTCGGGTGTTTCTTTCAAATACATGAATGTGAGATAATGCTTCAATGCTGGACACTGAAAAATTTACTTACAGTCACTGTACATTGGAAGTCTGCAAGGTTTAAAGATTGAGATTAACGTATTGGGGCATGTTAAAAGTCATTTATTGCTGATTGAGGATTCAGGACCTTACAGTTAAAAATGAACTTCCAGACAGACACTGCTGTGATGCTGCATGTGATTTGTGTACAATTAAGAAATTGACAATGCTTGAAATCAAGAGATGCACTAATACGTTTATCATCTCACAGGGTCTGACCCCACAATCCATTAATTGGTGTATTCCACCTGCAGCCTCTAAGTTGGCAAGGCCGTCGGTACAAACTTTTGTTTTATTTCGCGCAACAGTTGTCATCATTTCAAGGCACAAATACAGTCATAAGTATTAGGGCTGAGGAATTACGAAGGAATGCTTTTGTCACGGATAGCTTGGAGCTTAACTTGAACAGTTTTCAAACTGAATGATTTCTTATTTTGTTGCGATTGGTTGTGATTACTTGCTGCAGCTTGGCTTCAGAACCAGTAAACTCCTTCACATATGTAGGCAATATGTATAGTCATCCTAAGATGCCGTCTCTGGAGATCTATGGGATGTTCTGCATCTCTTCCTCATTTCGTTCCCCTGCCCAGCTCAATTTTTGACGAGGTCCAGACCAACTCACTAGAAGTTTGGAAGTTTGAGCTGTACTTTCTAATGGTGGAGTTTGAGGACCGGCCGGCCCTGCCCCCGCCCTTCATCATCCTGGAACACGCCTACCTGATCCTGCGCTGGGTATGGCGGAAGATATGCCACAAATGCTGCAAGAAGGCAAGCCCTAAAGGTAAATAGTGATTCCTTGGATGTTGCAAAAAATTTCTTGGAGAAGTCCAGTCACTAGTTAGGTGGAAAATTCTTGAAGTTGAATCGGAGTGTCAAATCCTTTCAATGCAGAAGAGAAGTGTACAATATATGGATGCCATCTCTTCTGACAAGGGCCAGAAAACTAGAAATATTGCCATGCAGCCGTCCACTCCATGCAGGGATGTTTTACACAGCAGCCATGCCATGCTTCTGCTCAGGCAAATAATAGAAAGTAGGTTTGCGGTAGCACCATGGATGTATCTCTTTTGTGAGTATTTGTGGTTCTGAAAAGAACCAGTGGTACTCTTATTTCAGAACCACAAATACTCACAAAAGAGATCCATCCATGGTGCTACCGCAAACCTACTTTCTATTATACCTCTTCACCATGCAAACCTTCAAGACTTATCTGTACAGCGATTTATAGGTTCTAAGCTCATTTCCATCACATTTCTCGTTTCCACTGAGCACTTTTTTACAGTGGTACATGGTGAGTATCCCTGCAGAGTTGAGGGTATGAGACCTTTACCATTATTAATGTAGCTTCAGTACCTCCCCATGTCGCTGAAAAGTGGATAAAGCTATCTTTTGGGCCGGAATCCATTAGTTGATACATCATGTATGTGTGACTTCAGAGAGAGAAAGTGGAAATGGCTATTGTGAGGGGAGGTAGGGGGGTCTTAAACCCCCCAAAAAGGTGAAAATAACAAAACGGAAAAAGAAAAAAGGAAAGAAAAAGTGAAAGAAAGGGAGGAAAGTGGATGAAAACCACCAATTTCCTTGAGAATGCCCTGGAATTGACTTCTTCCTCCAGTAACAGTTTGCTGCCATTGAATGCTTTAATCCTCTACCCCTTTGACCATAAAAACTCACCCCCCCCCAAAAAAAAAAAGAAATTCTGGTGATGCCCATGGAAGTGGATTGAAATGTTGACTGCCAGTAACTGTCCAAACTGGTGGAGGGTTGACAGAATCAGTCAAGCAAGTTTGCCATTTTTTAACCTTATTTATTCTGTACCTTGTCAAAATGCTCGTCATTCTTGACCACGAAAAACAAATTAACATGAGAGGGAAGCAATTTACCAATAGGATCTTTATCCAAAATGACCCGTTTAAAGAACACATGGACAAATGTTTTGAATGTACCTGTGTTGTCTTGATCTCAAGTGCTCTATCTCAACAAGAAGATGAAAAGAGCGCTGCGGGCATTTGAGAAGGAGTGCGCCGCCAACTACCGACGGAAGAAGAACGAGGAGAAATATATCCAAACCCCAGAACGGCTCAACCAGCTGGACAGAAGGTAAGCCATTTGTCCTCAATCAGTCTGCCAGAGAGGCTGGACTCTTTTAACTTGCTTCTTTTCTTTTTTTTCAGTTTTAGCACTCGATTTAAATCATAATCAAAATCAATTGAAAAGCATATCAAAAAGCCACTAAGGAAAATCAGATTGTAGGATTTGTTTAATTTCTTGTGTCTTTTTATTTAAAAGCAAAGTTTGTAATTCAGATCCACAGTTTTATTAATCTTAAATGATCTATACTCACTCTGAATGGAATATGAAGCCAGTCTCCTGAAACAATGGACTATATTACTATTGTGTACAGTGCACATGATACAGTATAAAGCAGTGTATTTCCTTTTACTGTTGTACAGTATACTTGAATAAGATAGAGTGTTCAGCTCTTCTTACATGTGTAGGCATACTTCTTCCTGTTTCAACATAAACACTCACCATGAATAATTTCTTCCACTGGTGGTTAGCTTGTACAATCCATCTCAACTAGGCTTAGCAATAAACACAGAAAAACACAATACCAGAGCAGTTTTAAGACAAACTGTATATATGTAGGCTGGAAGAGAGTGGTTATACTTGACTTTCAGGGACAGTCATTTTAGTTTGCTTAATTCTTGGACCTGCAATGTTAGTAACTTTAATAATACACACTCTAAAGGAATGTGTGAGATCTGTTTCCTGAAACTGTGAAAGAGTGTACTGTATTTGTCTTCGGTGCAATGCATATGATATGGTATTCTGAAGCAAATGGTGTCCAATATACATGTATAAGATACAGTGCTCAGATCGCATGACATGTGTACATCCTCCTCTTGGCACATCAACAACCATTATTTAGGTATTCCGTTGCAAGCCTTTACAATCCATCCTGACTCCTGTAAGGTTTTGGCTTCGTATATCCAGCGTGGTCAGACATCTCCCAACAAACACAAAAACAACAAAAATACTAAAAAAGAGAATAGTTATACTTGATTTCAAGGGCAGTCATTTTAGTTGGCATATTTGAAACCCTTTTATGACAATTAACACAATGAATAAAAAATTAAAATCAGTTTAAACAAAAGAGTCTAATTCACATTTTACAAATCTGATGTCGTTTAAGTCCATGATTTTTATCAAGTTAGTTCTTTGGTAAAGTTAAACTTCAGTTGTTCATTGAGTGTGATGTGTGTGGTCAATGGTGTTCTTGCACCAAAATGGGGTCAAACCACCCTCAAGGGGATTCACTGTTGTCACTAATTTTTTTTAAGTGGACCACAACGTATTTTATATGAGCAAAAATCTATTTGTGACAATAGATGTCAGCAACCCAACTGGCAGATTTTAATAGCAGCCAAAGCTTCATCCAAATGCTTATTTTGGAACCTCTTGTTTAGGAAGTGGTAACAGTTTTCTTGCCAATCACTCACATTTAAATATATGGATCAGGGGGGTTTGTCTCTGGCTACTCCCAATGACTTTTTCCAATGATGGAATGTGTTGAGCTGGGTTGTTGTTTACATTTACTGCCTCAGAGCACTTGCTAATGTACAGCAGTTATCACTGTGCTGTTGGCCAGGAAAGGGGGCCATTGGAAGTACCCCCCACGTAAACACGGCCATCAGATTCATCTAATGAGAACCGAAGATTAGGTCACATGTCTTAGCAGAAAAAGTAGCACTTGAACCAACATGAATACTTACTCCATTCATCGCACTACACCGCCTGGTTCAAATGACGTCACACTTTATTGCCAAACTTTGTAAGTAACTGCTTAAATGCTGGGTGGTGGTTTTTATCAGAGACTGCGGGAATCCTTGAAGAAAATAGTCCAGTTTTTTCCCATCTGTTTTGTAACAATACGCAGCTTCCCAGTTTGCCCATTAATCTGTACCTTACTGCACTCTCCTCAGAATATATGAATCATAAATCGGCTTTCTGCAATGTTACCAACACTTAGCAGTGACCAAGGATATAACGGTAAGAATTCCTTTCAAGACCCATTATTTTTCCCTCAACAGACTGAAAGACCTTGACCGACAGACCGAGAAGACCAAGGAAGACCTCCAGCGGAGACTGCAGCATATCCAGCAGCAACTAGAGGACATGGCCAACTCTAACCTTGAACTGGGGAGAACGGAGTCCTCCAGCAATGATGAACAGAGAAGGCGTAAGTAGACAGTTATTTGCGGGTATGAAATGCACAGGTGCAAGGTCTCCCAGTGTTTTAGTCAAGACATCATAAGACCAACACAAGACTAGTTCAAGTCACAGATTTTTCAAATGCACCACAACCATAATAGAGGTTTCTTGTTATCCATAAACCCGTAAACTGAATGAATAGATTATTCCCTGACTAACATCACAGCAACAGCACCCTCAATCATACAGAAAAGTATGGAAGAGTTTAAAGTATAAAAACGTGCACTTTAAGCACTGAATCTAGTTGCAATAAACAGTGGATTCTTTTCAACAGGGGCTATTGCCCCAATCCCTGAAGAGGCAGAAGCCAGCAGTGTAGATGCTGAATCCTTGGGCCAGGCAGCCACCACTGCGGAGGCCAGACGTTACTCAGGCACCCGCCAGCTCATGATGGACCTGGAGAGGAAACGAAGCATCTCTGCCGCGCCGAGGCAGAGCGCCAAGCAACGAGAGAAAGTGCTGCTGTGTCAGCTGAACCAGGAGATGGTCCAGACTGCACCCTCCTCCCTTCGCTTAGGGCTAGCACTGTTGGAAGAGGAGGATAGTGCGGAAGGCAGTGATTCAGACAACAAGCACCGCCCGCGCAAGAGATCGACCAATGCAAAGGTCGGGGCGCGGCGCCTCTCCAAGTCTGAGGTCAGGGGCAGTGACAGGAACCTTCAGCGCACATCGTCCCTCTGATTGATTGCACTCAAAGAGTGTGTGACGCTTGCGTGGTCTTAGCAGCACATCTGCACATATGCTTTTCATCAGCACATCTCAGTGTCTGTGTCATATGACACCTGTGAATGTTATCCCGGGGCTATCTGCAACAGAAGGCAAGTTGTCTCCCACTGGGTTGATGACTCTATCTGATAACCTGTGCATAAAATGTATCCAGGGTACCAGACAAAATCAATCTGTGGTTGATAAACGGTCTTTGCTCAGTGTTGCCCACAAACAGAATAGGGGCATAGTCTCTGTGGCATATCCAGCATGGGAGGAGCTAAAATAAATATCAATAATAATATTTTATTTATCAGATATTAGCACCAAAACCTTAAGAACACCACACCGCGAAAAAAAGCCAGGATGTTGGGACCGTGAGTAATGCTTTCAATATTTTTTTCTCCCCCAACATTATGTTGAAGAAGCCCGAAGCCGCAGTTACTTTTGAATTTGCCCCCCTCCCCCCAAACAAGTTTGACACGCTGCTGCGTAGTCTGATCAGTGCTTCAAATTCTCAACCAGCAGCTATTTGCATCAGGACATTTATGGGCTGTGATATGAAGGGGCAAGTATTGACATGCATGTGGGCCGATGTGTTCCCCAAACGTTCTACTTAAAAAACCCAACCAGTGAGATTTGAAATAGCCGTCAGTGAGTTCTCAGAGGCCACAAGGCAAGTTCCCATCCTCGCACTTAGTTTCCTGTCAAACGAGAAGTGTTGCTTGTGAAAAAGCTTACATCAGAATGAATCTCTCCCTGGCCATATGGGTCGTTCTATAAATTAGGGGTCCATTGTTTTTTAGTGTCCCTGTCACGTGACATATGATTACGTAAGTTCAGAAAACATTCTCTAATTTCCATGAGTGATGAATTAATGGGAGTTACCTGCCAAACAAATATAAATGGTTTGACATCAATTTAGGTGATATTTCCGCCATGTCAAATTACACAGGTTAGGTGTAATAGGGACACACAAATGTCACACTTTGGGACCTTGAATTTATAGAATAAGTTATTTGTCAAACCTGGGCTTCATCAAGGATTCGTGTCATGAGTTATTACGCCTTTGACTTGGCACAAGAATGATCTTATGGCCAATAGAGTAAAGCTGACATAGGAATGTAGCCAATATTTTAGGAATGAACACAAATGACCATGTTTTGTAGTGTTTGAATTGTCCACTTTTTTTGGGGGTATTCTTTTCCTCAAATTTGAATGGCATTCACTACTGTGTCTTTGTACAACAATGCCTGACTAAATTTGCCTTCTCTTTGATATCCACCTTTGTTTAAGTAGTGATGCTTATATTACTTTGCACATAAGCTTTGATATGTTTGGTGTTTATTTTCACATCCTATATTCTAGGTAATTTTTTTTTTACTTTTGCAAAGTCCTGTCCAGTGACAAATATATGCAACACCAAAATATTAAAAGCAAAACAATACGAATGTCTTCCAGGAAGAAATGGCACAGTAATGAAGATTAACATGTACGCAATATATACGTGTGTGTGTTTATTTTTTTACTAAATGTACATGTATTTTTTGACCCATCGAAGTTTTAGTGAAAATGCATTGTCTTTCACCGAGACAGAGTAACTTATGCAAATGAATAGTGAATTGAATTCCTGTCCATAGCATCACCAGCTAGTTCCTCTGCCGCCACCTTTTACCAAGCCAAAGGAGAGCTTTTAACTTCCAGCATTTTTGTTCGGAGTGGTGTCAGTTTAAGATTTAAAAAGAACAGTCTTTCACAAAGAGATCGAGTTATTTTACTGTAATATTGCTGTCAGTGTAAGTAAGTACAGTTTTGGAAATCTTTGAAATATTTGGGGCTTCCGTTTAGAGTGCTGTCTTTCACAACTATGAAATAGTTTTGGTACAGAGCAGATGATTTTTTTTACTTATTCAGAGAAAGATTAACATAATTTCCCTACTGTTTTAAATTAATAGCCACTTCATTATATGCCTGGTAACATTTGATGGTGTTTGGCATGCCTGGGTTTCAAAGCAATGACTTTTCTTAATCAGGTATTCAAATGTACAATCAAGTATGGCCACATAATTTCTGTAGTGGAACAGGCTTCTTTCTATATACAGATATGAGGCACCGTGCCGGCTAGTGCTGGAAACAAAATTGGTCCTGAATGGAGTAACTTAAAGGTCCTATGCCTTGTCATTTTTTTAACATGGCCCTTGTAAATCACCCTATTATCTTGTTTAGCTGCAGTTTTAATTTTCATGTTGCCACTTTTAAAGGAAATTTTAGCGCTGTGTTTATTTTATGTTCAGGTTGATGTAGTGGTTCTTTCCTCGCATTCCACCTCTGCAGCCAGGGTTTGATTCCCTGCCCGGTCCACTTGTGGATTGGGTTTTCAGTCCCTACCTGACTCCGTGGGTTTTACCCAGAATGCTCTCCTTGGGTTTTCCTCCCACCTCTAAAACTGCTTCTCATTGTCTCCGCTCTATAGATGTGAGTCACTTGGCAGCTACCTAGCTGAGACGCCATTGCATGATTCCGACTCATGTCTTGTACTGACTACTGATCTATGTTTACCCTCATTAAAAGATTATATAAGTAAATATCATAATTTAAAATTTGCCTATTTTTGAGACTATTTTTAAGACTGCCGCCCTGGAACAAAAACTCAGTCTGACAATTCACTCCAGTACTAATACTTGCGAGAATTTTGGGATATTTTGCTGCAGCTGTCTGTATGCCCCTCCCCCCATTTTTTCATGAGCAGATCTGAGATGCTTCCAAAATTGTCACATTATTTTGATATGTTGACAATGTAACTTTGAAATACGAGGTTTATTGTATTTATAATGCAATGTACCTTTGCTTGTAAATTGAATTTTATTTTTTGATTTACCCCCTGTACACCCGTTTTCCTGTTTGTAATTGCATTTGTGTATTGTACCTAGGGAATTTAAGCATTTAGTTTTTGCATTTTTTAGTTCTAATAAAAGAAACCATAATGCTGCAATACTGTTGGGCAGTATAGCTACAGTGTAGTGAATGAAGAGAGCTTTTCTTTTTGCACTTTTCTTGTCCTTCCCTTGGATATTGCACTCTCCCAAACTCAAGATCTCGCGTGGCATGCAATGAAAGCGTTTTAACGCAGTGTTTTTCTGCGTGCAATTTACTCGTTCCCTGAACCACAGAGGAAGGACACAGAAGGAGTTTGAACTGCCCAGGCTATAACATCTGGCCAATTACCGCTTTCTGGTATTTATGGGATAGCCAGTAGGCAGTCATCAGGCATTTTTTGAATGTTTTCTATTATTCGTCTGACTTGGCGGCGACCATCATTGAACACTTTGAACTGCCACAGTTGCAACTCCTGTGTCCTTCCTCTATGCCTCAACCCTGAAGCCTTTTCACATGGAGCTGGGACATGCCACGTTGGCGCCGAGAATGACCCAAAAGTCAAATGCTTAAAGTTGCAAAATGATGGATCGGAATGTAGGCTGTTGCAGAAATCCGCAGACCAGACGAGGCCCCTGACCCTTTTTTGAAAGAAAAATTGAAGGCAAGTGTAACGGCTGCAGTGTACCGTGATTCACGTATTAAAAGTGGAGGTTAACTTGGTGCAAATTGGTGTAGTGCGTTCTACTACCCGTTGCCGTTTGCCAGCTGTCTTTGGTAAGCTGACAGATCGGCGAGGGTTCTACGTTCCCCTCCTTCCTCCATGGTCACGCTAAGCAGGCTACAGGTGAAGTAAGGTGAACGCTGCAGCTGTAGACCTGGGTCAGACCTTGGTAGGGCCTGCAGGGCTTGTTACGGTAGCCGGCCAGTCAGGTTGCAGGATCACGGCTTTTTGATATCGATGAAAACTTAACATGAAACGATGGGAATTTCAGAGCGACGAGCGACGTTTGGGCTGTGCATGATTGTCGTCGTCGTCAGCGTTTTGTTTTTTCTCGTCATCAGTCTCTTGCCATCGTCTTTGTAACTAGGAAAGTGCATGTACACATACATTCTGTTACTCCCAGTACATTGTCATTGTCTGACTGTCATTTTCGACGATTTTGTACCGATAAGTCGAATGAAAATACACTATGCCCTTATTCAATCATGTAATTTTGTAATATTAAGAACTACAGGATCATTTCATCTCACAAACTACTTAAGAAAAAGCATTACAAATATGCCGACTCAGAATGACTCTATTAGTTTTCTAATTATACTGGCCACAGCTGTCCCGGACCAGATTTGTATTTCAATATCAAGTTTTGTTTTTATTATGCAAGTCTATTTCTCTACCAAATTAGGTGCTTTTATCATAGAAATACAGTAGTTTGCTATTGATCCCAGCAGTAAGTCTGTCCGGTTCGTAAGTGTGACGTCACTTCAGTTTAAACCACACCCACTGCACATGCACTGCACTTGAGAGTTACGTGCATTGACCGCCGTTTACATGGAACCGGGAGTTAACGCGCAATTTCAGCCATCGTCCAATGGGAGCCCGCTGCAAATTGTGGCGCGTCCGCGTGTATGACGAAGTCGCTTACGAACCGGATGGGTTTAACAAAACTACGCTAACCCTAAACCTCCTCAATCCTTCACCTGTTGGAGGATTGAGGAGGGTTAGGGTTCTAAGGAGGCCGGTTTTATGGCAGTTCATCCACCATAAATAATCAAAGCTCATATATTTGGATCACACGAAGTTTTATAAATGCAAAGAAGGTTCTTTGAGAATGGCATTCATAAATACCTCTGGCAGTCTCTCTGTTCAACAAAGTGTAAGTTGACCGAGTATTATCTTTTGATAATGCCGGCTGAAAAGTGAAAATCACTGCACCTGGATGCGAGACAGTTAATCGATTCTGATTACTCAAGAGTCTTTGTGCACACGGCTCGCCAGGCGATTCTATTGGGCAACTTGTATAAGGAATATGTGATAAAACTGACGGGGGTCCTGGGAAATTAAAGTAAAATTCTACAATAAAATCGTTAAAAATTCATCATATATTGACTTCTTTTGACTCTGACTAAAGAGGTATTTATGAATGGGAATATGTATGTGCTCGGCCGGTCTTAAACTAGCCTAACGTTTAAGCGAATAATGCCGTAGCCTGCATCTCCGGTATTAGTCGCGTCCATTCTCCTGAGCCGTTCTTAAACGCACGTTTAAGACCTGCTAGCACATTATTCCCTTATTTAAACCCATATTTCTGTCCCCGAACTGGGGTGTCCACACTGCACTATGTCCACGGATACCACAGATACAGAAGGAATAGGCCCTATTCGCGGGGACCCAATTTCCGTCAGATTCCCCAACGTAGTGTATTCTTTTGAAACCGGTGAATTTAAAGAACCAGATTGTATTCTACGATTTCATTCCGAACCCCCCCCCATGACCTGGTACCATCCCATTAAGGGTTTCAAATGTATACTGTCCGTTCAGGAATACGACTGTGATTGGGCACGCCGCGAATGCGGTTCATTGGAGCCAACCGAGTTTTCCCTTGTCATCTTGTCAAGATCGTACAAGGCAAAACGGCTGACGCTGGCACTGTACTCGAAAGTGGATTGGCTCATAGTATGATTTTAGCAGTTTACAAAAATAATGGTTCCCAAAATGACTTTTTTTTAGCAGGAGGGCACAAATACCCGCAGTGCCATTAAAAACCACCGTTTTCAGATGTCTCAAGTTTCCATTCTACAAGTTTGCTAAATATAAGATTTTCTAATGCCCTCGAGTTCATTCTGACAATTTTGTATTGCCTTGATGCAACAATTTGTCTTTTCTTCTGCAGCAAAGTAGAGGGCGCTACGTACCAAATACGTAAAGGTTTGAAACAATGTATTAATTGTGCAAGCAGAAAAATGTAAAATTATAAATTGTTGCTTTTTTTTAATTATTTCCTTTTGTTTCCCTTTATTTACTCCCAAATCCCCCATATTATGTTCAAGGGAAGTGTAAATCCAGCCTTGTTTATTTGGCTGGTTGGACGATCGCTTAGCGACTTTATGGTTACAGAGTTACTGTACAGAATTAGCCTAAAATAACCCAATCTGGGGAAATTGTAATTATATGTGCTCAATATCGCTACAGAAAGTTGTAAAAATAACGCATAATTATTTTGATAGCCTTCAACAATGCTAAAAACAAGATGTAGATTCCCCGATGATTCTTCTGAGAGGTTTGTGGGGGAATTAGACCTAACATTATTCAACCACTTCCACTTAGCAAATAACAAACAGTAACAGTTCAAGAAATGTCTTTTAACTGCATGTAGAGTTCCGGAAGTCAGTGTCATCCGACATGTTGGGATGTTGACATATCTTATCTCAGGAGGGCGTCATCTTACGAACGTTACAAGCAAAATGTTGACTTCTTGAGATCATCAATGAAATGACGATGTCCCCAAAGTGTAATGACAAAATCGCAAGATAGTATTCTGAAAGTTGGAGATCGAAGCCCTGTGGAAATTTAGTAATAAAATTACCCCAGGATGTTAACGTCATGCTTTCAGGATGCGTCTTCCTGTGGTAAGTTCTTGAGATGTCTTCTCACTATCGGGATATCGTCATCCCATGATAAATCATTTTAGGATGTCGTTATTTTAGATTGCAGGATGCCATTCCGAGACAAAATGTGTTAGAATCTAGACAAGTCAGAATGCACCTCCGGTGCTCCGTATTCAACATGTGAGGAGTTGAATTTTTTGTTTAATTTGTCGATCATATTTCGTTTATTAATCAAGGGCTGCTCATCTGATACATGTATGATTTTAAACCACAAGCATAAACACTGCACAGACAAGAGCCACTGCAATCACGAGTTCGGAGACTAACGCCGCGGAACCGTTGCACAAGTCCGTGTTGCAGCAACAGATAGTAGCTCCGGCGTTTGAGAAGCATCCATTCGTAGTTGGGCACTGGCTGCTGTCATAACATGTCCTGCTGAAGACATCCCAGCCAAGCGGAGAGCTCACTGTTTTCTGAGCATGGACGAAAGAGGAGTAAGTTTCATTACATGCATACAAACAGTGTGAAGACTGATCGGTGGTGTAACTAGGGTACTGCGGGGCACCCTAGGCTGTTTTCCTGTGACCAAATTATACCGACTAATTTCAGAGGATGCACACACGTCAGACGGGTATTGTGGACCTGAGAACCAGACAAGGGGCACCCAGCTGAGGGGATGAACTTTTTTTCGGGGGGCAAAGCAAATTTACTGTGGCGTTATACAAGTGCGTACATTTCAACTTTAATGGGGAAACACATGAGGGCCAAGGACTTCCGCCGGGTCAGGGTGGTGATCAGTGGCCTTCCCTTCCAAGTTCCATTCGCCACAACATATTATTCCATCAACTCTCCTCGTTTTCCGGCACAGGGTTTACTTACCATGCAAGTGTCTAATTTTTTTATTCCTGCATCAGCTACGGCCTCCGACGCAAGTCTTGATACGTTAGCACAGTCCAGAGGGAGAACGTTGGGCATATGCGTGTTCTGAAGGAAAGGGTCCGCGCAATGAGGAGTGTTCGTAGACTCGCCTGTTGCACCATAGGTGCATGTATAACAACGAAGACCGTTTATAGAGCCTGCATGTACGACATAACAAGAAATTAGGTTAATGTTGTTGCACAGTCACTGTTGTCTGTAAAGAATTCCTGAGATTCCCGATTAAACAATGACCAACGCAAAGGCGGGGGGGTCTCCGTCCCATATCTTGCTTCAAACGGAAACGGCGGCGTTCTGTTCTGACCAAAGGAGCCTCAGAATATTACGATCTCTTTTGGTTCAGCTTGGGGCTCAAACGCCCTTTAATAGTGTAAAAAAAATTGGGTCTTTTTTTCTTTTTAAGTTAAGGAGTAAGTTCCTTTAAAATGTTAATGGTCTGGCCACAGTACTGCAGGCCCTTATTGTTCATTAATCTTTTGTTATTTTATTTGACTCTGGAGCAAAGATCGTATAGATGGCGAACTTCACCGTAAATACACGTAAAACGTTGTAATCGCATAGACGCCATTTGAACAAGCGATACGCCTGCGCAATGCACATTACTGCACAGTCGCAGGCGCCACGGCAGGCAGGTGCACCTGGTGAGCCTGCGCCCAAGCATTACAGTAAAACTGCGCAGGCGTATCGCTTGCTCAAATGGCGCCCACGGTAATTACATCTTGTGGGCAGAGTTATCCATCTTGCGCCTTCGGCGCTATACGATCTTTGCCCTGGAGCCCTGGCCTGGCTCTGTGTTCCTCAGTAATGCTAATTTCGTTTGTTCATTGCAGTCTTAAGAATTCCTTTTCTTGTTTCTATTATCAGTGGTGCAACATTTCTTACATAACTTTCTCTGCAGGCTTATAAATGCTGCCTGTTAGGCTAGTAGGTGTGGACTTACGGCTGGGCATGGTAGTGGATGGTGGTGTGATTTTGGTCCCTTATTTCCATTTTAGATCCTGCTGCAGGATCCATAGTTGAATGAAATATCTTTTCGCTATTACTTTACACCAACACTACAATTAATTTTTCTGGAAAGGGTTCGATGGTTTGCGCAGTCTTTCTGTGAGTATGTTCTAATTTATTTTCCTTAGTAATTTACCTTGTGCCCATTTCCCTTGCCACGCCCAGACTACGGTGTTTCATCGTAGTCGGCCTACATCTGCTAATATTTTACACAGTTTCACACTGTTTCAGTTTTTACTCGTCCTCCCCTGGTGTTCTTGTTATCGGTGAAGAAGCGCCGATTAAATTAAGAAATTCAATTCTTTGAAGGTATAACTTGAATTTCCTTTCTTGTATTCTGTTATTGCGTTGTGTTTTTTTTACTTAATAGAAATATAGTTAGTCCCCCTTACTAGCGGGTTGGGCTTGTTTAGGTTGCCGTTACAGTATATTTATATTTATATTCTGGTTAATAATCTCCTGTAGCCTTTCCAATCTTTGAGCGAAAAAATTACAAAAAAACAAGGGAAATTAATTTGATTTCTAACGTAGGTTGTTGGTGGCATAGCCCAGCAGTACATTCCACAATGACTGGCCTGGACTCGATTCGATTCAGGGTGATGCATGAAGGATAGCTGTCAATAGCAAAAGCTTACACGAGGCCAGGTCCATTTAACCACAAATTAAAAAAAATAATCGTTGCTTTGAAATAAATCTAATTAATAATTGGTTATTAAGGCAGAAAAGGAAATCTTATATAACAGAACATACGAAAGCGAAAAATAAATGAATTCCACTTGTCATTCGTAGTTTCATACTACATGTAAATACTACTGGAGCATTAGCGGTGATAAAATTGGTAACTCGGATCACGATACGTCAGAAAACTATGATTCCTATGGAAAGTCTGGCACAGAGGATGATTCAGCCCACACGTGACACAGTGACATTATACATTCCTCCACTACCCCAACCCAAGGACTGTTTCTAGACCCCAACCAAACAAAGAAATGGGTTTCTGCATTGGTCCAGCGTTTTCACGACTTTTGATCCCGTGTGACGTCATTACTTCAAGCAAATGAGAACCGAAGATCGGTGTTGACCCATCACCGGTTCAGAAATGGCGGAATAAACTATTTCGTCGTCCGCAAAATACGCGAATTACATATTAAATTTGTTGTTGCAAAGCATACAGAAAGTGGGTGTTTTCTTCAACTATGCCAAATGAAATGAGAAACGTCTAAAATATACTAAGTGAAAATGACGTTTATTAAAAATGTCGTGAGCTCGGCTACCTTGCACTTTTGTATTTCTCTCTCGGATGGCGGAGCCTTTTCTGGTTCTACTGTTTTTGTTTGTTTTGTTTGTTTTTATTTTTATTTCTATTCATTTTATTTTTTTCTGGGCCAGTTTGAACGTGTTTATGGTCACTGCTTTGACGTCACACGAATATTTCTCTGGTTAGGGGTAGTAAAAAATTCCCTAGGAAATAAAAATAACAAGCTAGCCTACATGTTACATACCCGATGAAGATGATGATGCTTTCTAATTTAATAAAGTATCCACAATTGCACAAACGAGCCGACGAATGGAAAGGGATTTATAATCTGTTTGGCTTCGAACGTAATGAATATTTGCATGGTGGTTGAACAATTTGAATATGGAACTTGAATTTGAGCTTACGGCTTACAAGTATTCACATTGAAAGAGGAAAAAGAATCCTGATATCTCTGAGAGGTCGTGAATGTGTAGACTAAAGGGCGGAACCAAAACCAAACTATTGTATACAAGGCAAGATATGGGACGAAGGGGTACCCCTTACCTGTCCAATCCCTATACACACTCTAGACTATTGTTACCTAATACATTCCCCCAGAAGTCTGTAAAGAATTCCTGAGATTCAAACAATGACCAACAGAATGGCGGGGGGGGGTTCTCTCCGTCCCATATTTTGCTTCAAATGAACTATTGGGGTGAAATGGGGGGGTCAGAAATGGGCAATTTTCTGTTTAACCTTCCATAGCCTTTCTAAGGAGTGAGTTAAAATTTTGTCAGCTTTTCTTTTGAACAGATTGAGATGAAATAGACACAAAAATTGTCTTTCTACTGTATTTTTGGGAGAAGGCAACGCCCCCTCCCTTAGGTCCGCCCTTATTCAGACCCCGGATTGTCTAGTCGAAAGAAAATCACCATGTGGCCCGCTTTACTAATTCGCCTGCACTAAACTCTATGTGAATAAAGCACAAGGGAAAATAACAGAGATGAGTCAATGAACAAAATATAATAGGCACAATAGGCAGCGTACCAGGACCCACGGAAGATATGTTCGAAGCATGTTACTCCAAATTAGAAGACACGTTGAGCTAGAATGTTGAGCTACGCAATCCATCCAAACGCGTGCTGGTTAATAACGGTTTTGTCAAAGGAGTGTGCACTGTACACTAATATCTCAAGTGTGTAGTGGTCGCTAATTTCTAACTAGAACTTGTGAAACAATATTACTATTAGTTTATTCTACAAATTTTCTTTTGTAGAAAAGGTCATTTTGATGACCGGAAACAAATCATTATTATTCCACGATGAAATTTGAAATCAAATTTAATTTACTTACAAATGACTGAGAACAGGAGAACGAGTGTACGCGCCATAGAAAGCAGCCCCATTACAGTTTGGTGGCTCTTCTCACAGCTCCCAGGTACGTAGAAATTCTGTGTGGATGACAAGACAATATGGCCATTACTAAAACACATGAATTAATCAATGTTTAAACTCTGTTGGAGCTCTTTTTGTTCAGTCAAAAAAGGCCTGCTTTGGCTTTGTCCCCTTTACCTTTGAATAAATTTCTGAGCCAGTGGAAGGGAATGGAACAAGCAAGATCTACTTTTTCATCAAAGCAATCTAAAACCCAATCTAATTGTATCCCCTTTAAAGATCAATCACATCGGTAATTAATAAGTTCACTTTTTATGAAATTAAGATATATTTAAAACAATCTGTTATGTAAAACTAAATAAAGATTGCTACTGACGTCAAATAGCACGAGTTGAAATTCGCCTTTATTTCTGACACACTGGAAACAAAAGTCGTCGGGAGCATCCAGAAGAAGCCTTTTCTGATGACGTCATGCAACGGCAACAGAAAGAAACGACTGTATTATTACTTTGGGTCCCACGGCTGAGTGGTGCTTGCTCGCAGTTAACTGTGCATTGAAAGAGGTCGGACATTGACAGTGACTTGTAATTTCTTTCACAGAGACAATGTTGATCTATACCGGATCTTACGATAAAGTTGAACCGTTCTAGTTTGAACCCGGAGTAAGGTCCTGATGAATGTCAGGTACACGACCGAGGTCATTGCCGTGAATGACATCTAACTTACTTTACCCTTTTTCTCTCTGCTCTTGTGCCATAAAGCGCTAGATTTGTTTGACGCCTTCATCGACGTCATTTTCTACTCCAAGCCATTGTCGCAGTAAAAATGAGCCCCCAAAAGTCGATTTTTTTTTTATAATTGCGAAAAAAAACGCCATGTTAGTAATGGATAATTATGACCAATTTCCTGTTTACTAACATTTTTCTATAAGGGCATTGTGATTGATCTTTATACGGATAGCCTACATTTGGGAACGATGGCAGGCTAAAGAGAACTTATATCAAGAGTTTGTAGAGATTTTCCTCTCGGCCAGATATCAGTTTGACGCCGCAGGGGGGGTGTGTAACTCGCCGGCGAGCTAGTAATCGCCAAGGCGAGAGGGGCCTAGTGACTGGGAAAAATATGCCGTACGTGGCCCCATATACGCCTGTGTGTTTCCCTTTGATAGTACATTGATCGAGTTACCCCGAATGTTTGCCCATCTACAAACGAAAGTGCCAAAGTTCGTGCTTCATAATACGGTTTCATGGAAACAGAATTAGAAGGAAATTTGAAAAAAGAAGACTACTATGAACTAGGTGTAGTATACAAGTTAATGAAATGCAATATCAGCCATTCGATCGGCAATGTAGCGGAAATATCGAAGTAGTCGTCCATTGTATGTCTAGACCGTCCAGCCAGTGGTCCGGTACCAAGCTGATACAGTTACTAGCAGAGCTGTGTATACAGCGAACGGTATTCCGAACGTGTCTACATCTTGTGCAATCCTCCCAGCCTTCATGAAGGCTTCACTCGCGAAATCAGGCTAGAAGAAAAGCCAAAAATACGGAGGGTACGAAAACGACTATGAATAATATACATGTAATGGGAATATGAAGGTACTTACAAGATGTGCAGAAGTCAAAGTCGATACTTTATATCCTCGAAGTTAGGAACTGTCAATGATTCCACAGCCCAGCAATGGCACTTTCCCTAGTTGAACTTTCAGGCTATTTCCTCGACTGCGCAGTTGCTGTATGTTACATACTTCGCGGTTCAGACAGGCACGACCCCAGGTCATATCAATTTCAGTCATTCAGCTGTGAGCCACTCCTATAACTGCAGTTGGAAACCGGTGAATGAAATTAATAGGCCAGTCAATATTTCTACATCAAAACGCGTCAACTGCAATCCCTTGTAATTCTTTTTTTATTTGCTTTTACTTTGTTTTTGTTTTTTGTTTCTATTTCTCGTACCGTACCGAGTTGGGTACGACAAGTCCATAAGACAATTTGCATACAGGCACCAAATTACCTGCACAGACAAAAATCGCGTTATTGGGGCATTTTGTCGAATGTGAACTGGATGACTTTTGATCGTGAAACTCAAGTGTCAAAGGCATGTAGCCGGGGTGTGCGTCGTGTGTCCAGTAACCAGGCACGCGTTGAGTAAAAAAGCTGGTATCGCTGAGGACCGTTGATTCCCGTCCTGTACGTTGTCTATTTATCAAACCTTTTTTTTTACATAGGAGGAGAAAAATTACTGTAATATCCCGAGGGTTTGATGTTAAAAGCCACTTCATCATCTAGATGTTTAACATGCTTGGGTTTCAAAAAAATGACTGTTCTTAATGAGGCAGTAAAATGAATCACCAAGCATGACCACATAATTGTTTTAATGGGACAGGACTTTTTCTTTTGACAGATGCGACAGATACGAAGCATTACACTAGCCAATGCTGGAAACAGAATGGCCCTAGATGTTTTGACTGAAAGGGCCTATGCCTTGTAACCTGTTATTAGCACAGTCCTTATAAATGCAACTTTGTATCTTGTAACCTGTTATTAGCACAGTCCTTATAAATGCAACTTTGTATCTTGTTTAACTACATTCTTTAATTTTCTTTTCCTTTCAGGGACACCTTTTTATTTCTCTCTTATCAATACAAACTCAATAGCAGTTAGTACAGTTATAAGATATCGTAATACTTTTTGTGCTAAACTGCAATTCTTCGAATTAGACTTGACAGAGTGCAGAGTAATTTTGCCATTTCTACCAACATTTTTGGTAAGCACCATTGATAGACGTCAAATATTTTTCACAATGATAATGCCTCTGGGTATCCTTTGTCAAAACTTCTAATGAGGGTGTTTGCTGTTAATTTTCATTTTATAAATGTGAAATCTGGCAACCAAAAGGATAATATTAAGGCATTTGAGTCTAGTGTTTTAATGCTTCTTTAGTTTATGTTCAAGTTAGTGTAGTGGTTCTTTCCTTGCCTTCCACCTCTGCGGCCCGGGTTCGATTCCCGGCTTGGTTCCACATGCGGATTGCATTTTCAGTCCCTCCTCAATCTTCCGTGGGTTTTACTAAGAATATTCCTCTGGGGCTTTCCTTTCACCTCTAAAACTGCAACCGCTTCTCATTATCTGCTCTCTACAGATGTGGGTCGCTGGGCGGTTGTCTGAAGCACTCTTGTATGCCTTCGACTTAAGTCGTGCACCGATCAGAGTTCACCCTCATTACAGGATGATATAAGTTCGGTGCCCCCACGGTATCGAGTGCAGAACATCAGGTTGTGCCAAATGCATGCCTAGGCTATGTGAGCATGGGAAAAACAAATATCAGTGTATGGAGAGTAAGAAAAACGCGTCAACGAAAAGAGAGACAAAAAAGAACTACCCCGGTTACTATTAATTAAAAATCCCACCATTTCTAAATCAAGAAATGGTGGATTTGTTAATATAAAAAGGTGATAAAAAATTGAAGAACAATTTCACAATATACAAGAAAGAATGGCAAGACCCACGTTTAGACCCAATTCTAGACCATTACCATAGTGAAAAACTGTTTCAACGTTAAAAGTAAAGACCAAGAGCGTATCTGATGGTGTTTGAGAGCTGCCTTACGCCGCTACTGAGATAAAGTCAAAACGCAAGCGAAAGACCGCAGTTTCTTCTATACCTACGTGTTTCCTCTATACCCACTCTTGTTTAGTGACGACGAAACAAGCCATTACTGTTGGATAAAAGACTTTTCCAAACTGTTATTTGGCGTATGCAAAAACGACCACGATGAAAGCATTTCTGGCATCGACTCAGCTCCTTCGAAACTAACGCTTCCAAATGAAGGAGAAAACTTCATAAAGTTCAGAAATCACAAACACATACAAGACGCACCTTTTGTGATTTACTCCGATTTTGAATCTATACCAGAAAAGAAACAGCAACTCAGAATCCGGAGCTAGGAGCAAACGCAGCCAAAAAGCAAGCCCAGAAAGCCCGTGGTGCTTACGTCGTAGTTCGCTGCGACGCGTCTGTTGACTCATGCAGAGACCGTCGCGACGGTCTATGCATGAGTCAACAGACCTACAGAGGTCCAAACGCTTTAACACGACCCATTGAGTCTCTACAGAAAGAAAAAGACGTCATTAACGACGTGTTTACTTACCCCTGTAAACTGCCTTGAACTGCAGAAAAACAAGAACAGTACGACCAACTAAGCAACTCCTGGATCTGCGAAAAACCCTTGTACCCAAACTACCCGTCTAACTGTCAATGCTCAATCCCCAAAGAACCCAAGAGCACAAAACAGAAAAAAACACAGGTTTCTTTTAAAAACGCTTAAGGATTTACAGGTTACCGTTGTATGCGTTGCAACAAGCTCATAAACAAGTTCAGAAGGTCAGAGACCACTGTCACGTGACGGATAAGTTCAAAGGTGATCTTTCACAATCTACATGTAGAAAACTACGACGCCCACTTGTTTATGTAAGGCGCCACCACGTTTAAACAAGATAAGCCTTTTTGTATCGCTAAAGACTCTGAAAAGTACATCCGTTTTTCTTTGGGTCAACTACGTTTCATAGACTTAAGGCGTCGTTACTCGACAAGCTAGTCAAAGCCTGTCCTCGAGACGCTATTAGTTTACTGAGAGACCACGCTGCCCAAGGACATCAAGCTTCTGTTACAAAAAGGCGTTTACTGATACGAGTACATGGACTCATTGAGCCATTGAGCAACTTTACTGTAGCCTCAACAAAAGCCAGTCGCTCAAAAAGACCATGCTAGAGCCCATTGAGTCTGGTCCACGTTCGGTTGTAGGCACTTAGGCGACTACCACGATTTGTACGTAGAAACAGACACGCTGTTACTCAAAGGTGTGTTTGAAAACTAGACGCATTTGCCCAGCCAACTACGGTTTCTATCCAGCCAATTACTACACAGCACTAGGACTGCTTCTGCTGGCTACTGTACAATCGCCAAAATTCAGGCTGTCCCGTACAGATGACGCCGTAAGGGATCTGGTTGCAAGTAAAAGAATTAATTTGTAAAATGAACTTGTTGGGACAGAACAGCAAGATCAATTCTGTCAATCTCGGTCTTGAAAGCGCCAAGAGTCGCAGAACATCTGACGTGGTTTGGTAGACAATTCCATTC